TTCCTTCGAAAAATGTTTAGCCATAGGATCCTTTTAAAGAGCCAAAGCCCTAGTATACTTGAAGTAGATTTTGATTTTAAAGCTTTATATACAAAACTTTATATACATACACATTTTTAGAAATGTCTTATGTAAATGAGGTGCCAATTAAAATATTTGCAAGTTACTGTCAATATATTTCATCCATTTCAAAAAGTATTTAATGCATTTACTGATGCATTTATAACATAATTTAAAATGTGAGACAGTTCATTGGGGTATGGGGTCATGAGATTTAATCTATTCAATTTTGAGCCCTATGGCCTATTTATTGGCAAAGCAAATAGTTAAGAATGTTGTAATATAAAGGGATGTATATTATGCCTCTGCTTCCATGCAGACACGTGTGCTTGTAATACATAGACTATTTCTGAAGGAACATACACAAAAAATCTGATTTTAGAAGGGGGAATGGAAGAAGCAGAGTGGTGGAGAGACTTTGCTGAATCTTGTAGGCATTTTATTTTTACCACGTGTAGGTATTATTTTTTAAATTAAAAAAATACACATCTAGTTGTTTTGTTTTTTTCTTTTGTTGATTTCAGAGAGGAAAGGAGAGGGAGAGAGAGAGAAACATCAATGATGAGAGAGAATCATTGATTGGCTGCCTCCTGCAGGCCCCCCACTGGGGATCGAACCCACAACTGGGCATGTGCCCTTGACCAAAATCTAACCCGGGACCCTTCTGTTTGCAGGCCGACACTCTGTCCACTAAGCCAAACTGGCTAGGGCACCACATCTAGTTTTTACAAAGTACATGCAAGGGTCTAAACAGACTAAGTGTATTCTACTCCCTCGGGGCAGAGCACCAACTGTTCTCAGGAAGAGAACAAGGTGGAGAAATGATTTTTTGTTACTATTTCTAGAAACTAGTACGTGGTTTCTCATTTAGGAATGATCATGGAAGGAACTAAAATCATGACTGGATGTTTTTTCCCCCTTTACTTCCTCCCTCCCCCTCTTGTTTCCAACTGATTAAACTGTAAGTTTAATCTTACAAAGGAGAAAGAAATTACATTAATAAGTTAGTATTATATTTTTAAAGTAAGATGGAATGTTCTCTTCTTTCAGGGCTGTCTTCACATGGATCCTGCTGCGAGACTGACGTGTGAACAGCTGCTGCAGCACCCATATTTTGACAGCATCAGAGAAATAAGGGATTTGGCAAAATATGACAAACCAACAAGGAAGACCCTGAGACAGAATCCAAAGCACCTGCCTGGGGTAAAAATGGGGCACTGCTTTACGAAAGCATCCAAGGTTACAGCTTCAAATGACCGCATACCTGCCACTTGGTGAAAGAGTCTGAATCTATATTTGAGGTGACAATTGTGGTTTGCAGCTCCAGCACCTCGATCCAGCCCCAGGACACTGGTCACATGATTTCCCAACCAGGGCCCCAAGAGACAGCTGCCTCCTAAGGCTCCTTCTCCTTGAATTCTAAAGGTGCCCTTGCCCTGCAGTTCCCGGCTGCCACACAGGGCCAGGGTGTTTGGCGTGCATGAGCACAGGTCTCAGCCGGTACCTGGGTGTCAGTCCAGCTTTGGGAAATGAAGTCAGATTTATCCCAGCTAGCTCTGGGTCATTTTGTTTACCTTGAACATTAATTGACATCCCAGGTTTATACCAAAAAGGAAGTGTTTTCCATCCTGATCCTTTAATCGTCAGAGTTGGCTAGGGTAAATGCAGTGATGAGTGCCTCAGTGATAGCAGCAAGACAGTGCATGTAACCAAATAGCACCCAAACGGCACACTGGGAGCCCCTGAAGAGTCGCGATTGGTGTAAAGTGGCAGAATGGCCTTCCATTGCCTTGTCATAAGCCAAAAGCTGTAAAAATTTAGAATGGACTATAGTCGGAACCACAACTAAGATGAGCTGGCTGCCCTAGTCACTTCGGAACTGCCTTAAACTTTCCCTTTGCAGCCTGCACTGCACAGCAGGCTGAATGATATCTGATGGTGTGTGTGAGGTTTGGAGGAGGGAAGAGGTTGTTCAGGCCATTAGGAACAGGTACCAAATGAACTCCAGGGCCCTAAGATAGACCAGAGTTTCAAAATTAAGAATGCTTTTATTTTATTCTCTATCATATGTGATCCAAATAGCAAAACAGACTGGAAATAGACTTTCTCCCCTTATCTTACTGTTTCTTTGTGTTCAAGAATAAAGGGTCTTGATGGAGATATTTTTACTTGAAAGAATATGGAAATACCACTAATTTGTATTACTTGTAAGTACTGAACAATTCAGCTGTTTGATTGAAAAATAAAAAGTACCTGCTTTTCAGATACCTATGGCTATATAGTACCACTAGTGCCCCAGTGAAGGGATTCGTGCACATTGAAAGGAAATTAATTAGAAGGTGGCCGGCAGGGCGAGATTGGTGAGACACAGGCTGGACATGCCCTGGAGCCAACCTCCCGCAGTCTTTCCCCGGCCGGCCGCACCTGGGGCAACACTGCAGCTCGAAGGGCGTCTGTGGAGTGAACAGGGTCCTTTCGGTAGGTGGGGTCCCTCAGCCTGGCCTGTGGAGATCGGCTGAAACCGGCTCTCTGATATCCCCCGAAGAGTCCCAGATTGCCAGAGGGCAGTTCTCAGGTGTCACACCCCGGAATCGCACCCTGGAATCGGGCTCCCTCCTCTGGTTCCAGGGCACGTCACCCAGGAACCACCGCTGCCAAGTCATTGCAGCTCAGCAGCTTCTGTGTTGAGCGTCTGACCCCTGGTGGTCAGTGCGCGTCATACCTACTGGCCAGTTGGCCAGTAGTTTAGCCTTTTATATATATATAGGTACAAATAATATATATGTGTTCTCCTTACTTTCACATGACATTTTCTGGTAGCATAAAGGGAGCAGTTCTTTTTAACCAAGGAGTAAGCAGACAAATCGCCCAAGTGCCCCGACATCAGTTTTCCTTCCTATAAAACAAGGCATTGGCTTAAAAGGTTCCTAAGGTCCTGTGAATGTCTGCTTTTCCCCAATAATGTTAAGATGTAGATTTTTCATTTTTACATTCTCTAAATTTTCTTTAATGTGCATGTTTTTCTTTTTAATATGAAATAAATCTCTAAAAGGAAAAGTAGAGACCAAAATTAAATATTTTGTCCTTTCTCAGGTTCTGGATTCTGGGCAGAAAAAGTATTTCTGTGCTAAAAATTTTACTTATGTCTTTTGTGATGTGTTATCAACAATGAAAAAAGTGTATGGTGTTGAACCTAATTCTATGTGTTGTATTTTCAGTTTCAGAACCTACCTCAGTTGACTGGCAGCAGCATCCTTCCAGCTTTGGATAATAAGAAGTACTACTATAATACCAAGAAACTTAACTACCATTTTCCAAACATTTAAGGACCTTGGAGATGGATGACAAAAAAGAACTGATCAATAAACCCCAAGAAAATAAAACATACATTTGACTGAAGACCATCACAATGTTGAGAAAACATAAGTAACTAACTGGAGGAAGCCACTTGGCAAGATGTGAAGGGAAATTCCAGAAGCAATCTTCCATCCAGAACAGAAAGGAAAAACTCGTTTTGATTTCCACTTGTGTTTTTGTTGTATCTAAGTAGCTGGACTTATGGACAGAAATAGAAGTAGTATCTACTGCCCATTCCTCTGGCAAAACTAGTCACGTAAAAAGGATTTATGCTTCAGTTGTACAATATGCAACAAGTGAAAAATAGATTACAGAACACCCAAATGTATTTCCTTGGATCCTATCTCCTGCTTTTTCAGATTGCTTCAACATCATATTTAAAAAGTTTTTGTTCTTGAAATCAAAATACTTAAAATCCCATTTCCTGCTTGCTCTATCTCTTGGTTTTTAAAAATTTAAACCATTTTTTGGAATATTTAAGAGTTCAAAATATTTAATATCATGGATTATCACAAAAGACTAGCATATGCTTATATATTTAGTGATATGTTTATAGCTATTTTCCCCATGTACTTTTGTCTTTACCTTTAGTAAAGGATGCATCTCCGTCACTTTTTCAGGCAAGATGGATTTACTATATGCATCTACATTTGTTCACTCAATTCCCCTTGCTAACAATGGCATGAAGATTGGCAGCTGCCAAGGTGATCAAGGAGTAGAACAAAACCTATAGGCTTGGCAAGAACTATACCTGCCAGCCTAAAAACATTTAGAATTTCATTCTCTCCAGCTCAGCCTCAGGCTTGGAGACAAGGCTGAGCTGGTAGGGCTATGGGATCTGGGTTTTGGAAGAAATTGCTTGTGAGCTTTTACTTGGGTCATGAAAGACATTAGGTTGTAAACCTAATATATATACACACAGGGTGGGGCAAAAGTAGATTTACAGTTGCTTGTCTAGAAAACAATACAATAATAATATAAGAATAAACCGAGTTTCATATATTCATAACTGTAAACCTACTTTTGCCCCACTCTGTGTGTACAAAAGACTAGCATATGCTTATATATTTAGTGATATGTAACTAATAATAAAAATGTAGTCTAGCCCTAACTGGTTTGGCTCAGTGGATAGAGCATCAGCCTGCGGACTCAAGGGTCCCAGGTTTGATTCTGGTCAAGGGCACGTACCTTGGTTGCAGGCACATCCCCAGTAGGGGGTGTGCAGGAGGCAGCTGATCGATGTTTGTCTCTCATCGATGTTTCTAACTCTCTATCCCTCTCCCTTCTTCTCTGTAAAAATCAATAAAATATATTTTTAAAAAATGTAGTCTAAGTGCTGATGGTGGTAAAGATCGTCAGCCTGAGCATTGAAGGGTCTCAGGTACCATTTCCGGTCAAGGGCACATACCTGGGTTGCAGATTGGATCCCTGGCCTGACCTGGTTGGGTGTGTGCAGGAGGAACTAATTGTCTCTCTCACATCAATTTGTCTCTCTCACTTTCTCTCCCTCCCTCCCTTTCTTCCACTCGCTCTCTAAAAACCAATGGAAAAAATATCCTCCAGTGAGGATTAAAAAAAAAAAAAATGTATTACTAAGGATTCCTAGCTTTGCACAGTGATAGGTAAAATGACAAAATTAGCTCTGCTTTGGCCTATTGCTCCTATTCAAACAGCCTTTTCATCCTTGTCACCTGGACACAAGGGCAATATAAAATTCTGTTTCTTATAACTCAGCCATTTTTGGTTGATGTGATGCTCCTATTTCCTAGCAGTTCTCAGCCATGGTTTTAAACGTTGTATTTGACTGTATCTTCGAAACATTTCTTCTACACCCTCAGTTTACTGCTATGTTAATTTTCTTCATGAGAGCATATGACCTTATTACTTACAGCTAAGTAATCCACCAAATTCTGACAATGTTCAATCATTTTGGCTGCCCAGCCAATTTAATGATATCCATAGTCTTCCTCATGTATGTAGCTTCTTGCGTAGAGCTGATAGTAAGCTGACTAACCCCAGTATTATCTAATTCTTGTTATGTAGCCTTGATTCAAAGGACAAAGGAGGATATCCAACTTCTGTGACTAGTTTACATTTGGTGTTTTTCTTCTTTTCCTTAACACAAAACAATGCACTTGACAAGGCAGATGACTGTAACTGCATAATTAATCTAATAGTTTTACAGAAAACCACTCAGAATAGAAAAGTAGCTCCAGCCTAAACTGTGGTGAATCAGTTGCTTCATCATACGGTAATCAAACAAATGAGACAGGAGTGCTTATTGTTTATGAGTTCTATAAATGCGTGCTTATGTTTAACCATATCTGTAATCCTTTCTTCACATGGAATCACCACTGTTTCACATGAAACTATTCTATATCCTTGTCTTTTTTGTAAATGTACTAATTTCTGATTTTTTAAAATGACAGTGGCAATTATATTAGTAAATAGTGTATCATTTATGGTATGTGCTATTTATATAAGCTAGTTTCTGAACACAATTAAAATTCATTTTTCTACCAAAATTCTGTATCATAGAAAGTGTTTATTTTGACATTATTTGCAAAGTTATATTCAAACCAAATGTACAGAAATCCACAAACAAGTTGGCATATAACTAACAATAACTGAATCAGGGCCACTTTAAGCAGGTAAGAATAAAGATATATTTTTATCTACTTAATAATAATCTTTAACACTGTTTTCTAGATATAAAATGAATTTTGTCTTTATGATATCCTTGAGCTCACAGGAAATAGTATCCACTGTATATGGGGAAATAAAAATCCATTTCTAATTGACATGTTAAAGTTTTCTGTTTATAGCAATTTTTTAATTTAAGCAAAAAGTAAGTGCTGGTCTTCATGATTGTTTCCTCTATTCTAATGCAATCAGAGGAACTATTTGAATTCAGCCAAGTATTTATGTCTACTTATAATAAAATACCAGACTAAGCTTAGAAAATTGACAAGTTAGCCAGAAACTACTCATTCAGAGAAAGGGTGTAATTATGAAAAACACAGGAATGCAGAATTATGAGAAAAGCATGCAAATCCTGAGAGCGATATGAATGCCTCCACAACTACTGACTTCTTGGCATAATTGACTTCAATGAATCTGAAATTTAGCTTTCAGTTTTTCAAAATTATACATTTATAGTAACGTGCTTCAATAACTTTAAAGTGCAACATAAATTACTGTTAAAATACAATCAAGAATATCTGTGTTGTACATTTAAATGTATTTAAAGAATTCTAAGTCAGTATCTACATCGAGATATCTATATAAATATCTATATAAAATGAGTAAATTAGAATTAAAATGTTACTTAGTTTGCATCATTTCAGTTTAGTAACTTTAATGAGTCTCATCTGAATATTTATTTTCTACATGATGGACTTTCTGCTTTTAAAATATCCTGATATGACATCCTTATAGTTCTAATGATGCTTACATAATATTCGTTGCTGTTTAGGATCAATTTTAAATGATACTTTATATTGAATAAGGCACTTATTGATGATTATTATTTTGCTTCAAGTCTAATTTTAGTTCCAGATAAGGTAGTAATGCCTTAAAGATTTTAACAAGGTTTTCTTTCTCTCTTATTCCAGGAAGATCACTTAGCAACAAATACCTGAGGTTTCTGTAAAAAAAGAAAGAAGTTACTTCAATTTGGCCTTTACTCTTATAGCATTAAAACTAAACTTGATTTATTGACTTTTAGAAAAAACTACAGTCAGAATATGTATATTTGTTGTCCAGAATTACATCAATAATTCTAGCTGAATCTTTCCAAATACTATATGTATATTATGGCATAGAATACCTTTGCCTGAGAGAGATAAAATATGAATCTTAACCTAGAAAGGGAAACAAATTAGCAGAGTTCTTAAGGGAACTCAAAATGAAGCCTTGAAGCCTCAACTAATGTAAGAAACAAATAATCTAGTATTTTTGGTTCTAATGTTTAAAATTTCTCAAACTTCCTGTGATAGGTTATTGGCAAAACATGGAAGAAATTAATTTAAAAAGTGGAGAGGAAGCATAATAGCTAATGTTTGAGAGCTTACTGTAGCAAGCACCATGCTAGGAACTTTACTTAGATTTAATTTTTTAAGCAATATCCCTAAAAAATGCAATAAAACCATAATGTATTAAAGTTGATAATTTCAACTGTTTTAAAGTATTAAAGATGAAAAGTTAAGTCATTTTCTTTTATTTTTCAAAACAAGACACCATCCCTCAACTGTTTTAAATTCTTATTTTTCACCTTAACATCATTACCAAGTTTCCATTTTGGCACTGACCACCTACCTTAATTTTTGCAAAGCAATGATGCCTTTGTCTGTGACATTCCCACATGAAATTATTTCCATTTCCAACAAACTTTTTTGTAAATTTTCAAGTTGACTAATTCTCTCCAAACAGTCATCCTCGATATAATGACACTTGCATAACCTTATTTTTTCAACATGCTGTAGGCCCTCTGGGAGGAAAAGAGCAGTTTAAGAACCTGTTTTACCATTAATATAACCAACTCTCCTAGTTTTCCCAGGGCTGTTCTGATTTACGATTGAAAGTCCTATGTCCTGGGAAACCTCTCAGTCCCAGGAAAACTGGAACAATCAGTCACCTTAATAACCATACACGGTATTCACTATACAAGTTGTGCTGATAGGACCATTTTGCAGTGAAACATCCAGCCACTGGGAGGGGTGGGGGCGGGGGGGCGGGGGGGAACCACCCAAGCAGAAGCTGTGTGGATAGAATTATTCCTACATCATTGAGGATCTCTCAATGACAAAAGTTTGACAGACAGTTTGACAAACAAGGCTTGAATTTTAAGTCAATAAGCCACAGAATAAAGTCATGTAGAGACAAACTTAGTAAGGGGAGAAAGGAGAGGAAGGTGCTTGTAACCTCTAATTTAAAAATATTATACATAAGAAGAAACAAACTGGATGATATTGAAAAGGCAAAAGAACATATCTACCACTATAATATTCAACTGCAACAAAATGTCACTGTAAATTACCTGCATTTTTCATAAGCAAATGATAGGGTAGTTACCTAGGTGATCAAATCCAATGTTCATGATACAAGAGTCAGTGGCATCGATGGCCTGGATCTTGTATTTGTCCAGAGGGCCTGTTGGGAGGTTGTTGTAGTCCTTCTGCCACCTCTCCTGGCCATGATAGCGTACCATGGCCCCACAGCGAAGCAGCCACTCGGAGGCTGCCCTTTCAGGGCCAACTTCCTTGATGCGTTCACGATCTACTCTAATGGAAAGAGAACAAAAGCAGTTAGCTTTTACTATAATCATTAGCTTTTTAACTATATTCATCAACATAAATACAGAAAAGACTTTTCATTTCAAATGACTGAGGGAAACAAGTATACTAGTGAGATCCATGTCAAAAAAAACAAAAAACATACAATGACTCTACCTGCTACCTTTCTTGCTTTATTTTTGTTTCCAAGTGAACTCTGTGAAGGCATATTATTTTATATGAGTTTATCAGGCAGAAGTGAGTCTTCATTGATTCAGATGTAGCACAGTGCTTGACACCAGGAAGTACTCAATAACTTGTATCAAAAGAATGATACACTTGGTTATTGTGTTTATTAATGATAAAAGATTAAAGGGAATAATTTTGAACCTATGTTCAAATTAATCTTATTAAGTGATATTAATTTTTATATATGCCTTTTTCTCTAGTCAATGGTGTTATTGCTATATTAAGCAATGAGGAAATTAGCTTCTTCAGTTTCAAAATGATGCTTTTGAGCATGCCACCCATTAATTTTTTAAAAACTTGAGTTGCCTTCATAGTATTCAAAAGGCTAACTACATCCATTTAGAAGCCATAGAGTTAAATATTCTAAAATTACATTTACTGAGCTTTTCTGATTATAAAAATAATAAATTTTCATTTTAGAAAACTTGAAAGGCATGGAAAAGCCAAATAAGATAAAAGTCACTGACATCCTGCAACCCAGTCATGTTAATATTTTATAATCTATTTGGGGGTCTTTATTCAATTTGTGTATATATTTTATTTGTTTTTAAACAAAATGAGGTTCATACTGCACACACTATACAAAAAAATCATTTGGAATACAAGAAATAACCAAATAACTATTGTGAATTCATCTATCTTTAACAATTCTCACATTTCTTCATTTTAATTAGAGTAACTTACTTATTAAACACTGCATTCAACCAGCCCCAGAAGTATCTGGAGTCACATGACCATGGGAGTTTCCTTAAGCCACACAACTGCCAGGAAATTTTTCCAAACAGCATCATTTGATCTAGAAACACAACACAGTATTAATATTAGATCATCAACTGGCAATCAGAGTCATGTACATATAGTCACTTCACAACTTCAAAGTCAATAATGTTGTGCCAATAAAGCTGATGACTCACTTGCCTCTCAATCTCTATTGAAGAAGTCACTCCTGTCTCAGTTTCCCAGTTTCTTTTGCTGCAAAAAAAAAAACGAGCTCTGTGGTTCCTTCCAGCCTTGATATTTAAGTTCCACTGTTCTATACTGTCTGCACTGTTGCCACCTGGTGTCCATATAAAATTACTGAAACAACCCCACTCCCAATCTACATTTCCAGTATCAAAATGGCAAACTAAAATCACCTAGGGAGCAATATGCCGCAGTCCACACAATTACATCCAGGAAGAAAGAGGTGACATGGAAACAGATCTTCCTATGACAAGAGTGCAAATAGTATCACCAGAACAGGGCAAAGAGCTGTGGAAGGGCAGCTGGGAAAGACTGGGCAAGTAACTTCACCTCTCTGACCCTTGGTTTTCTCATTTGTAAAAAGAGATGATGTGCGCAGATGATTTCCAGCTGTAAAAACCTATAACTAGGAGTTGAGGAAGTGATTTTTAAATTGGATCTCAATTTGATTTATGTCAATTCAAGTTTCTCTAGAAGTATGCCAGGTGCGGGGGAAACACTGAGAAATGAAACTTGGTCTCTGCCTTTGAGGAACTAACAACTTAAGGCAGAGTGGAGTGAGCGAAAACAAGTTACCAAGTAGTTAAAATAAAAGATATTGTCTGATAAATACTTCAAAAGTTAAAATAAGAACAGACCAGAATTTCAATAATCCAGGTGATTAGCTGAGGCAGGGACATTTAAGTCATGTTGCATTTCAGTTTGGTTAGCTTATGAGGGTAATGAGGAGACAATTTACACAGTCACATCAGAAAGGGTCTGGCATAATCAGCCAGGAAATTTTGACTTTCTTCTGCAGGTGGTTGGGAGTCACTGAAGTTTTAGCACAGAACACTGGCATTTTTAGAACTACGCTTCAGGAATACTATTCAAACAGCAACATCAAGATCAAGTACACTAGCACTGGACAGAAAGACGGGTAACAAGGGCTTCAACTACATGTGGCCATGGGAAAGGGCCGGGGGTGCGGGCTGGGGGAGAGGAGAATTGGAATGACATTGCAGAATGGATTCCACATGATCCAGTAAATGAGATTATAGGGGCGAGGGCCAGAGAAACTGAAGATGACACTAAGTTTTGCTCCTGAGTCACTGGTCGAATGATGGTGCCATTATGAAATCAATGTCAGAAGGACAGGGTTGTGGTTTATTCCCAGCTTTTCATATTCTAAATATGAAGTGTTGGCAGAACTTCTAAGAGGTGATGACCAACAAGTGATTAGAATCAGTGTCACAACATGGTAGAGCTGGAAGGAACTCAGATCACCTAGACTACACTGTCTCCACGTCACCTCATTTAGAGACGAGGAAACTGAAGCCCTGATATTAAGTAACTTGCTGACACCCTACATCCTTTCCAGAACAAGGTGGGGTTTTAATAAATGCATGTGTTTAAAAGGACTTGCCCAGTGTTTCATGGCTAATTGGTGGCAGTGCTGAAACTTGAACCTAGTTCTGGCTACTACCAGCCCAGAGCTCTTTCCTTGGTCATAAGATGGTCCTGCAACTCAGGGAAAAAGGGAGGACTAGAAAGAGGCCTGAGTGGGAACCACCTCAGAGCTGAGGAAGTGACTGAGGATGAGGAGGCTGTGGAACAGTGAGAGATGAGGTCTGAGGCCCCCTGCTATCACCTCCACGTTCTCAGCCCTTCCCAGCTTCTTGTTAAAGCTCCCTCCACCTGTGTCCACCTCTAATAACTCCATTGGCTGCCAACCTCATTTATAAATCTGGACTTTCTAGCTTCAGTTCAACTCAGGCTGTGCCTTCTATTTACCATTCCTCCCCACCCACCCAATCCTGTTTATGGAAATCTTACCCAACTTCAAGACCTTATTCAAATGCCATCTTCATCCATCCATCTATTCATTCACTCAATAAATATTTATTGAATGTCTGCTATACCTAGTTCAAGAGGTATAATGGGAAGATAGAAAAACCAAACAAAACAACAGAGACAAAGATATGGTTCCTGTCCTCATAGAATGCATAGTCTAATGAAGGCAGAAGACATAAAGAAATAACATGCAACATAGTGTCTTAGTAGAGGTATGAACACGTTCTGTCAGAGCCTAAAAGAGTTTTCTTTTGGGATGGTCCTGAAAGGATGATTAAAAGTTTCCAGTTAGGCAGAAAAAAGAAAAGTATGTAGAGCAAAAGGAAGACCAAGGATCACATCTTATTCATTTCCATTTTGCTTAGTACCTAGTACAATGCCAGAGTTTAATGAATGTTTGCTAGTAGTCTTTAATGATTGATATATTTCCATGGAGAAAGGTAAAAACCAGAGAAACTGTTATTAAGCAGGTAAATTTGAGTGGTCCATGAAAACTGATGCACTTTGACTTATTGTGGCCCACCTTATAATTCAGCTTAAAGAAAAGGCCAAATTTGCTACTTCAGCTATGATTTCTAAAAATACTAGATATTATATTAAAATAAACATGAAAATCAAATGTTTATTTATCAATAAAGATAAAAAATAAATTGGTAGGTTTTTACATTCTCAAGTGTGACTTGCTAATTAAATTTAGCAATTTCTAAGGAATTCAAGCTACCTCTGGGAATGCTTTCTGTATGGAAAGAGGAGACCTCTAGTGGTGAGTTGGTGAATTTAACTCTAATGGATTAAAAGAAACCAGTTAAAAGCAAGTTAAAAATTACTACTAAATTACTGCTGCAATAAATAATTCAGGAATTAAAATAATTTAAAAAGACCTTCTTACTATCAGAACATGGCTTAGAGCCATAAATTTATAACTGATGTTTCTAAATCTTGCAATTATGTTTATGACTTAGAGAAGGCCAGACCTCGCAGCTGAGGGTGGTGTCATGAACACAAATGTCTCTAGCTAGCCAAATATCTTACAGGGTGTCTAAATGTAAGGTGAGCTCTTGATTTGAAATTACTTAATTGAAAAGGTAAGCAGAAAAAATTTTTTATATGTATTCAATCTAGTAACAAATCAACTACTACATCTGTGCAAACTAAAAAATAACCATCTGGGGGGGGGGTGTTAAACTTTAGAAAATAAAAATGAATAAATAAATAATAACCATCTCCACTACATATCTATCAGAATGATTAAAATAAAAAATAGTGGCCGAAACCGGTTTGGCTCTGTGGATAGAGCGTCGGCTTGCGGACTGAAAGGTCCCAGGTTCGATTCCGGTCAGGGGCATGTACCTGGGTTGCGGGCATATCCCCAGTAGGAGATGTGCAGGAGGCAGCTGATCGATGTTTCTCTCTCATCGATGTTTCTAACTCTCTATCTCTCTCCCTTCCTCTCTGTAAAAAATCAATAAAATATATTTAAAAAAAAAAACAGTGACACCACGCTGCTGGTTTGGGTCAGTGAATAAAGCATCAGCCCTCGGACTGAAGGGTCCTGGGTTCAATTCCAGTCAAGGGCACGAACCTCGGTTGCAGGCCCTGGTTGGGGCGCGTGTGGGAGGCAACCAATCGATGTGTCTCTCTCACATTGATGTTTTCCTCTCTCTCCCCTTCCCGTCTACTCGCTCTAAAAATCAATGGAAAAATGTCCTCAGGAGAAAGTGGGTCACTCGAATATTGCTGGTGGAAATGTATAAAGGTGCAGCCACTTTGGAAAAGCAGTTTGGCAGTTTCCTATCAAAATAAACAGGTGCTTATCACATGACCCAGCAATTGTACGCTTGGGCATTTCTCCCAGGCAAACAAAAATAGGTTCATACATAAAAAGCTGCACATTAATGTTAACAGCAGCTTTATTCAAAAGTAGGTAAAAACTGGCAACACCTCAGATGTCCTTTAGTGGGTGAATGGTTAAACATACTGCGGTGCCATGAACTACTACTGGACAGCAAGGAATGAGCCATCAATACATGGACCTCAGAGGATTATGCTGAATGCAAAAAGCCAGTTTCCCAAAAGTTATATACAGTATCATTCTGTTTATATAAATTCTTAAAGTGACACAATTTTATTTTTTTTATTTATTTTTTTAAAATATATTTTATTTATTTTTTACAGAGAGGAAGGGAGAGAGACAGAGAGTTAGAAACATCGATGAGAGAGAAACATTGATCAGTTGCCCTCTGCACATCTCCCACTGGGGATATGCCCGCAACCCAGGTACATGCCCTTGACCGGAATCGAACCTGGGACCTTTCAGACCATAGGCCGACGCTCTATCCACTGAGCCAAGCCGGTCTCGGCAAAAGTGACACAATTTTAGAGAGAGAAGAGACTGGGGAAGGGGTGCCCTGCCGTAGGGAGGTGAGGTTATACAGGGCAGGGGGGGATTCTTGTGATGCAGCTGTGCTGTAGCTTGACCCTGGGGGTGGGTACCAGAACCCACACATGCGATGAAAACTATGTGGAACTAAATACACACATACATGTAACACTGGGGAGTTCTAAGTAAGACCCATGGATGGTGTCAACGTCAATGTCCTGGTTGTAACGTGCCAGTTTTGCAAGATGTTATCACTGAGGGAGACTGAGCAGACGGTACACAGAATCTCTATTGTTTCTTACAACTGCATGGACAGCTACAATTATCTCAAAATTTTTTTAAGAATTTCAAAAATAACCATCCCTTAAAAATAACTTGTGATGGAACAAGCAGGTAACATCCTAATTGTTTGCACAAATAAAGCAGAACATGTACAACTATCCAGAAGGTTAAAGCCATTCGAGCATAATAACTACCGAGTATTCGCTGTGCTAAGAGCTGATGAGCCTTAAAAGGGAGACCCGACATTAGTCCTAGTTCATGGGCGGGCGGGCGGGCGGGCGGGCACAGAGGCGAAAAGGCTCCACAAGCCCCCTGAGGCCTGGAACCAAATCCAAACGGGCAGGTGAGTCCCTCCGGCCATGAGGCGGTACCACTCTGTGGTTCTGTCCCGCTGTTCTGGCCCTACACATGTTCACCTGCCATGAAGCACGGTGTTAAGCTGGCAGGTGATCATCATAGTTTTAGATGAATGATGCATTTGAGAGATTCCAGCCCACCTCCCGCACTTTTCAGGTGAGATCACGGGAGGTGTGACCTGCACAGGAAGTCGGTATTCCCAGGCCCGCGCGGGGTACTGAAAACTGTATCTCGGCCCCGTGTTAACGACCAGGAAACAGGTCGCTAAACGATGGCCGAGGCCGAGGCGGGCCTGGGTCATCGAGGCGGTATTTACAGGACCCCAAATAGCCGGATGATGGGCAGCGCGGGAGCCCCACAACAATAGGCCGCGGGGCTCTAAGGGCCTCGGTCCGGAGCGCGGGCTAAGGCCGGCCGGCGCGCGCTGACCCGGGCCGGAGCCCGGGAGCCCGGGAGCCCGGGAGCCCGGGAGCCCGGGAGCCCGGGAGCCCGGGAGCCCGGGAGCCCGGGAGCCCGGGAGCCGACGGGGCTGGGCGGGGCCGAACCGAAGGAAGAGAGACCGCTGGGCCCGCCCAAACGAGTTTTCACTATAATCATGCCCAGACTTTCTTCCCGGGCCCCGCATTCGGTGGACGTCCAAGGTCAGACCCCGCGACGCGGCGGGGCAGGTTGTCGGTAAGCCCGGCGCGCGGAGAAGGGAAAGGGCAGCGTGAAACCACGACCCTAGGCCCGTCCCGCTCGAGCCCAGCTGCTCAACTCACTGCGTCGCCGGAAGGGAGCGAGCGAGCGTCCCGGCGTGTACGGCTGCGCCGGCCTGCCCTTCGCCCTCCGCCGCGCGCGCCCATTGGTCACTGGCAGCCCTCCCACGTGGAGCGAAGGCGCGCGCCTCATTGGTCCGTGCGTGGGAGGCGGGGCTAGAGGGCACCGCGGACCCTGCGGAGTGTCCTGCTCCAGTGGCCACGCTGGGGCCGAGGCAGGGGAGGGGACGCAGGCGATGGTGCCCGCGCTGCGTTACCTGGGCACTGCCTGCGGATGGGCCCGCGCAGGTTCCCCCAGGGGCATCCCCGCGACGTGCGGGCCCGCGCTGGGCAGGCCGCAGCCGCTGTGCCAGGGTGCCCGCAGCGCCAGCACTAGGTGAGTAGCCGCCGGCCCGCCCCCGCCGCCTACGCTGCATCTTCGAGGTGCTTCTTGCTGGACCTGCGCCCAGGGGAGGTGCTTCTTGCTCCCCTGCCCCCGGCGTGAGAGAAGGTCGAGATCCTGCGGAGCACGGGCTCCACGCTGGGATCTCAGGAGCCACCTGCAGGATTTATTCGTTGTGTTTGTGGGCGGGAGGAGAGGAATGAGAGTGCTGAGTAGAGGGCTACCACAGCCTGTCTTTGCATACAACCCCTCTACGTCCTATTTCACTCCGGGCGGGTTTGCTTGAGCTCTTGAAGGTTAGGTTGTGAATGGGAGCCTAGGTTCTCCCGCAGGTGATCGTTTTGAGCGTTCAAGGACCTTGCCCACTGTAAGCAATCAAATAACGCTTTTTATTAGCTGGCATCTCGAGTGTTACTTGGAATATCTGGATTCAGTCTTCAATCAGTTCCAGGCAGACACTGCTCAGAGTTACCTCACTGAGAAGCAGCTCAGTGGCTGATCGAAGCCTGCAGAATCCAGTGTCCTGTGATTTAAAGTTTGGAGGTCACATGGGAAACCACTGTTTTTCTCTGCTTTCTTTAGAGATGATGGTTTATGCGAAGCTGGAAAGCTTGGCAGTTTCGAGAATTAAGAAGTCGAGTGTGACTGGAGCTTAGCGTCAGAGATGGTGTGGAAGGACACCAGGAGAGGGGCTACCTCACAACAGGGGTTTTATTTTATTTTAATTACACAGCGAATTTTATTCTAAGAGCGTTGGGAAGCTTTTAAAGGGTTGTTAAGAAGAGGGAGTGGTTGAATGCTGATCTTTCAAAAATTTACTCTGGTTGCTGTATGTTATTGTATTGGAGGGGGATTAGAATGGGATAGGATCTGGGGAAGCTTTTCTTAAGGGAAGAAATGTAGGCTTAAGGAAGGTTTTGTTTATACTTTTTATTTTGAAATAATTATGGATTTATAGAAGTTTGCAGCAAAGCAGCACTCTCATTTATCCCAATGATAACATCTTACATAACTATAGTACCATATCAATACCAGGAAATTGACATTGGTTCAATCCATAAACCTTGTTCAGATTTCATCAGTTTTACATGCACTCATTTGTGTGTGTGTATGTTTCTATGCAATTATGTGTTATTTTGTGTAACTACCACCACAATTCAGAAACAAATATTCTGTCAATACAAAAATATCCCTTGTGTTATATTCACATCTCATCTCTACACCTTTCTAACCACTTCCTAACCAGGGGTGGGCAAACTTTTTGACTCGAGGGTCACAATGGGTTCTTAAACTGGACTGGAGGGCCGGAACAAAAGCATGGATGAAGTGTTTGTGTGAACTAATATAAATTCAAAGTAAACATCATTACATAAAAGGGTACGGTCTTTTTTTTCAATAGTTTTATTCATTTCAAACGGGCGGGATCTGGCCCGAGGGCCGTAGTTTGCCCACGGCTGTAACCTGTGGCAACCACTAATCTATTCCCCAGCTCTATAATTTTTCACTTTGAGAATGTTCTGTAAGTAGAATGACACAGTATGTAATCTTTTGAGATTGGCTTTTTTTCACCTTGAGATCCATCTAAGTGTTACCTATATGAATAATGATTCCCTTTAATTGTTGAGTAGCATTACATGGTATGGATGTATCGCTTTTTTTTTAACCATTCACCAGTTGAAGGATATCTGGGTTGTTTCCAGTTTTTGGCTACGAATAAAGCTGCTATAAATATTTATGTACAGTCTTTGTATGAGCATAATTTTTCCTTTCTCTGAGATAAATGCAGGCGCTAAGACTACAGTACATGTTTAATTTTTTAAGAAACTGCCATATTCTTTTTTCAGAGTGACTGTTATTTTACATTCCTACCAGTAATATGTGAGTGATTCAGTTCTTCCTCATCTTCACCAGCATTTGGTATAATCACCTTTTTTTTTAATTTTAGCCATTTTGATATGAGTGTAGTGATCTGTCATTGTAGTTTTAATTTGCATTTCCCTAATGAGTAATGGAATTGAACATCTTTTCATGTGTTTATTTGCCACCTGTATACATATCCTCTTTGATGATATGTTTGTTCATATCTTTTTTCCCATTTTCTAAATAGCTTGTTTATTTGGAAAGTTCTTTTTTTAAAAAAATATATTTTATTGATTTTTTACAGAGAGGAAGGGAGAGGGATAGAGAGTTAGAAACATTGATGAGAGAGAAGCATCGATCAGCTGCCTCCTGCACACCCCCCACTGGGGATGTGCCTGCAACCAAGGTACATGCCCCTGACCAGAATCGAACCTGGGGCCCTTCAGTCCCCAGTCCGACGCTCTATCCAGTGAGCCAAACCAGCCAGGGCTGGAAAGTTCTTAATAGATATTCTAGGTAGAGTACTTTGTCAGATAAATGGTTTGCAAGTATTTCCCCCAATTTGTTGGTTTTATTCTTATCCTCTTAACAGGATCTTTTGCAGAGAAAAAGTTCTTAATTTTGATGAAGTACAGCTTATCAATTTTTTCTTTCATGGATCATGTTTTTGGTGTAAACTTTCACCTAGCCCTACACCACAAAGATTTTTTTTCCTGTGTTTTCTTCCAAAAGTTTTATAGTGAATATTTGATTATATAAAACATTTTTGTTAATTTTTTTTTAGTTAGAATAATGGTATTGTGTGTGTTTTGAAGAGGCCTTTTAGAAATAATATATTAAAATAATTACAGATGATGTTTAAGATTTGCATCAAAATAATATAATACAGGAGAGGATTAAATGGGGAGAGAGGAAGAAGCAAGTGTGTCCATATTTCTCTAAAACCTAAGGTAAGTGCTAAAAGGAATCTTTTACACTCCTCATTGCATTTGACTTTACAAGGCCTTTTTAATTTTTAAAATGGTTGTATAATCAGGGTTTGTCGTGGCTAAAATTGTGGTTCTGAACCTACTGGCTGTTTTCTTTTTAACAGAAAAAAAGATAAATTGTTGCATACCAAGGTGTTGAAGGTTTAATGTGTTAGCTAATCCTCAAGAATACTGCACTTGAATTTTAAAAGAATAGATGGTAGAGAAGAGTGTGATGCTTAACACAGGTAGCTGGCCCGGGCAGAGTACTGTGGGGATTTAGAGCAGCTTGATCAACTAGCCACCCTGCCCTCTGGGTGGAGCTGATGGTACTACTGACCAGCAATGCAGGTAACTTTGAAGGGTACTTCCTGAGCATGAAGCCAAATAGCACAAAACCCAATAAATATTTGCTTTTAATGATTACAAATTAATAGTTTAATTCATTATCCATAGATGATAAAAATGTTGCATGTGAAGTTGGATGGGATCTACTGTAAACGTGCATTACTTTAAAAGTGACTTTCTCTTGAAGCTCATTTGATGTAGTTGTTATCGGTGGTGGAATTGTGGGGCTTGCCTCTGCCAGAGCACTCATCCTGCGACATCCAGCACTTTCCATTGGTGTCCTGGAAAAGGAGAAAGAATTAGGTACGTATGGTTGATGTATGTTATCAGTGCTGCTCTTCAGGCTTATCCTGAACCCCCGCTTATTTTGTCAAATCTGCATCTGTTATGCTGAGTGTCAATGTTAGTAGTCTAGCTTGAGTTCTCCATAAAGCAGAGTCTGGGACTAGGACTTTGGTATAGGTGATTTACTTGAGAGGTTATCTAGGAGACAGGAGTGAGGGGGTGGGGATAGTAAACAGGGAAGGAGGGAGAGCCACATGAGGGTACCTTATTGAAGTTGTGAGTTTGATTCTACTGGGACCTCTGAGGAGCTACATAAACATTTCCCAGCATCATGGTCATTTATCCATCAGCTCCTGTCCCTATTGGTTGAGGGTTGCCTCTAGAAATGTTGAGTTCTCTTTCCCAACATTAGACAAAGCCCTGGGGTAGAATGCAGAGAACCATAATGGTCCCTTGAAGTGGTTTGCTGGAAGTGAGAGGTGAGTTTGTGCACCAAAGTTGTAACTAAAATCAGAGGTGAGCTGGAGGGATGTGACACAGTCAACAGAGATGGCGGCTAGAGGAATTACCAGTGCCCTGGCTGTAAGAATTTTAAATAATGTGGTCTGATAGCTTCAAAGATGTTTGTTCCCCCACTTCTTAGGTTTTGTATGAGTCATTTATTTTCTCTTATCCTGTTTCTCTTGTTTGGTAGCTATTCACCAGACTGGACATAACAGTGGTGTCATACATAGTGGAATTTATTATAAACCGGAATCTCTAAAAGCTAAATTATGTGTACAGGGTGCAGCCCTCATCTATGAGTACTGTAACCAAAAGGGAATTTCTTACAAGCAGTGTGGCAAGGTATGGTATTTTACTAGGACCTCGACTTACTTATAACTAACATTTTCTTACCGATATTTAATGTTGAATTTTTTTAAAACCCTGGATTTTCTTTCTTTACATCAAGTAATTTGCAAAATCTAATATTAGAGAATAACTTTTAAAAAGATGGCGAACTAACTCCATGTAATTAAAAAGATTTTTTGGTACGTTTTTAATGATTTTATAGAGAGAGGAAGGAAGAGGGAGAGAGAAACATTGATGTGAGAGAGAAACATTAATTGGTTGCCTTCCATATGAACCCTGACCGGGGATAGAACCTGAAACTTGGGTACAGGATAAGGCTTCAACCAACTGAGCCACACCAGCCAGGGCACTCCATGTAATTTTTAAAGTAACAGCTTTATTGACATAATTTATATACCATACAATTCACCCTTTAAAAGTATACAATTCAGTTTTTAGTGTAGTCACAGAAGGTGTAACTATCACCATTATCTAATTTTAGACCATATTCATTATCCCAAAAAGAAACCATATATCCATTGATAGTCATTCCCCACTCCCCCTACTTCCTAGTTCTTCCCAGACCCTGGTAACCATTAATATATTTTCTGGATTTGACTATTCTGGACATTCCATGTAAATGAATTCATACAATATGTTATCTTTTGTGGCTGGCTTCTTTCACTTGGCATAATATTTTTCAGGTTCATTCATTTGTAGCATGATTTAATACTTCATTTTTTTTATATATTTCATTATGTAGGTATACCAAATTTTGTTTATCCATTTTATAGCTGATGGACATTTGGGTTGTTTCCACCTTTTGGCTACTATAAATAACACTGCTATGGAATTTATACAGGTTTTTGTATGGACCTGTCTTCATTTCCCTCGGACATGTACCTAGGAGTGGAATTGCTGGGTTATAGGTAACTCCATGTTTAACGTTTGAGGAACTGCCAAACTGTTTTCCAAAGTGCTGCACTGTTTTATATTCCCATCAACAATTAATGAGGATTCTAATATCTCCACATCCTCACCAACATCTATTATTATCTGTCTTTTATTTTAGCCATCCTCGATGTGAAGAGGTATATGTCATTGTGGTTTTGATTTGCATTTCCCTAATTATTAATGATATTGAGCATCTTTTCATATGCTTATTGGCTATTCATATATCTTTGAAAAAATGTCTATTCAAATCTTTTGCCCAGTCCTGGCTGGTTTGGCTTAGTGGATAGAGCATCAGCCTTCGGACTAAAGGGTCTGTGGTTCGATTCCGGTCAAGGGCATATGCCCAGGTTGTGGGCTCAATCCCCAGTGGGGGGTGTGCAGGAGGCAGCCGATCAGTGATTCTCTTTCATCATTGATGTTTCTATCTCTCTCTCGCTCCCTTCCTCTCTGAAATCAATAAAAAAAAAATTAAAAAAATAAAACTTTTGCTCACTTTTCAAATTGGGTTATTTGTCTTCTCATTATTGAGTTGTATGTGTCCTTTATATATTCTGGATACAGTCCCTTATTAGCCACAAGATATTTACTAAAATAATGGTAAAACATTAAAACATTTTTTTATTTTTAATATAAAATAATAGTAATGGCAATAGTAATAGTAATTTTTAAAAAATATTACTAAAGTTTTTCTCCTATTCTGTAGATTTTTACTTTCTTGATAGTATCCGTTGAAGCACAGAAGTTTTTAATTTTTATGAAGTCCAGTTTATCTCTTTTTCTTTTGTTGCTTGTGTTTTTAGTGTCATACTTAAGAAATCATCACCTAAACTTAGATCAAAAAAATTACTCCTATTTTTTTGTGTGTGTTTTTAAAAAATATGTTTTTATTGATTTTAGAGAGAGAAGAAGGGAGATGGACAGAGAGATAGAAACATCTCTGAGATAGAAACATCGATTGGCTGCCGCCCGCATGGCCCTGCTGGGGATCGAGCCCACAACCTGGGCATTGCCTTGACTGGGAATTGAACTGGTGACTTGGTTCCTGAGTTGACACTCAACCTCTGAGCCACACTGGCTGGACATTACTCCCATGTTTTCTTTGAAGAGTTTTGTTACAACCTTAGCTCTGACATATTGGTCTATCATCACTTTCTTTTTCCCCCAGATGAATTGGTTTCATTCCAGGTGATATAGAATTTGGGGTAGAACAAAGACTGCAGAGTATACTTTGGCAGTGTTTTAGGCTGGGTTTGCTTCCCAGCTGAGATAGAAATGGCTGAGAATGAAAGAGAAGAGGAACCACAGTATGATTTTTTTTTTTTTTTAACAAAAGTTTATTATTAAATGTACAACAGGCTTCAAGACAACATTTCATTCTAGCTATAAGTGATAACACATGTTATGGCAGAGAATCCAGATGTTTAAACAGAAATGGAATTAAGGATCACCATTGCCCCAGGTACAAGGAACAGCTTATTTTTTGCCAAAATTCTTAATTACAAATGTGGAATCTCCCCGTGTGTGGCATTTCTTTCCCACAGCCTTAACTTTTAGCTCCTTGAGTTTCTTTTACCCCTCTTTCTGTTTCTGCTTGAATGCCTTACCACTTCACCCATTTTCTTCGTCTGCTTCTTGGGCTGCTTTAGGGACTTCTTCACACCTTCACAAACAGCCTACTGCCCTTTCCATAGACCCTGCCACTAGAAGCAGTTTCCTGCCTCACTCTCTGCACCTGTACCTCCAGCATATGATCACTTAAAATATATAAAGGACCTGATATATACATATATATATATTTATATATTTATATATATATATATTTATATTTATATATATTGATTTTTTAGAGTGAGAGGAAGGGGGAAAGAGAAACATTGATGTGATAGCAGAATATCTGTTGGTTGCCTTCTGAACACACCCCCTGCTGGGGATCATGCCCACTACACAGGCATGTGCCCTGACCAGGAATCAGCAATCTCTTGGTATTGGTACACTGAATGATGCCTAACCAACTGAACCATACCAGCCAGGGCCACTTTTTAATTAATTTTGGTATACGGTGTGAGAAAGGGGTCCAGCTTTATTGTCTTGTATGTGTTGATCCAGTTGTTTACCACCATTTGTTGAAAAGACTATTCTTTCTACATTGCTTTTTGTCTTTATCACAACTCAATTGTGCATAAATGTCAGAAGGTATGTTTAGGATTCTCAATTTTATTGCATTGATATATGTCTGTCCTTATATCCTATCACACTATTTTGATTACTGTAACTCTTCGTTTTGAAATCAAGGAGTATGAGTCCTCCAACTTTGTTCTTCTTTTTCAAGATTGTTTTGGCTAACTGTTGTGGCTCAGTTGGTTGAGCATCCATCCTATGCATAAGGAGTTCACTGGTTCGTTTCCTGGTCAGGGCACTGCCCTGGGTTGCCGGCTTGATCCCCAATATGGGGCATGCAGGAGGCAGCTGATCGATGTTCTCTCTCATCAATGTTTCTATCTCTCTCTTCCTTTCTGAATTCAATTTTAAAAATAAAAAAGCAACACATTTTTTAAAAATATATTGTTTTAGCTATTCTGGGTGCCTTGCATTTTCGTACGAATTTCAGAGTCAGTTGCTCTAAAAAGGCAGCTGGGATTTTGATAGAGATTATATTGAACCTATAGATCAATTTGGAGAGCATTGCCATCTTAACAATATTAAATCTTATGAACATGGGATGTCTTTTCATTACTTAGATCTTTAATTTCTTTCAACAGTGTTATGTATTTTTCATTGTGCAGGTCTTGCATTTCTTTTGTTAAATTTATTCCTTGGTGTTAGTCTAATAGGTGTTTCTGTGTGTTTGTTCTTCTGGTATGTGGATCCCTTAGAATTTTCTATATGTAGGATCATACCATCTACAAATAAAATAGTTTAACTTCTTTTTCAATTTGGTTACTTTTTATATTTTTTCTTGCCTAATTTCCCTATGTAAAATCTCAAATGCAATGTTGAAAAGTGAAAGCAATGAAAGTGGACAACCTTGTGATTTTCCTGATCTTAAGGAGAAAGCATTCAACTTTTCACTATTAAGTATGATGCTAGTTGTGGTTTTTTTGTAGGTGCCCTTTATCAGATTGAGGAAGTTCCTTTCTATTTCTAATTTGTTGAGAGTTGTGTTGTTGTTTTTTTAATCATAAAAGGGTGTTAGATTTTCTCAAATGCTTTTTCTGCTTCAATAGAAGCAATTATGTAGTTTTTGTCTTTTATTCTATTAATATATTACATTAATTGACTTTTGGATGTTAAATTGATCTTTCATTCCTTCAGTAAATTTCACTTGGTCATGGTATATAATCCTTTTTGTATGTTGCTGCATCAGTTTACTAGTCAGGACTGTTACATCAATATTCACAAGAGATATTGGTCTGCAGTTTTTTGTGGGTTTTTTTGTTTGTTTATTTGTTTTGTTTTTAAACTTTGTCTGGTTTGGGTATCTGGCTAATACTGGCCTCACTGAATTAGTTAGGAAGTGTTCCCTTCTCTTTTGTGTTTTGGAAGAGTTTATGAACAATTGGTACTGATTCTTTAAAACATTTGGTAGCGCTCATGAGTATAGTCCCTGGGTCTGATCTTTGTGGGAAGTTTTAAAGTTACTAATTCAATCTCTTTGCATGTTATAGGTCTATTCAGATTTTCTTCTTAAGTCAGTTTCAGAAGTTTGTGTCTTCCTATGAATTTGTCCATTTCATGTAGATTACCTAATTTTTGGCATAAATTATTCACAATATTCCCTTTAAGTCTTTTTCATGTAAGTTTTAAGAATAAAAGTTCAGCCCTATTGGTTTGGCTCAGTGGATAGAGCGTCGGCCTGCGGACTGAAGGGTCCCAGGTTCGATTCCGGTCGGGGGCATGTACCTGGGTTGCGGGCACATCCCCAGTAGGAGATGTGCAGGAGGCGGATGATCAATGTTTCTCTCTCATCGATGTTTCTAACTCTCTATCTCTCTCCCTTCCTCTCTGTAAAAAATTGATTTTTTTTCGAACCTGGGACCCTTCAGTCCGCAGGCCGACGCTCTATCCACTGAGCCAAACCGGTTTCAGCTAAAATATATTTTTTAAAAAAAGAATAAAAGTTCATTGTTACCATTAAAGATGCTATCAAGATTTTTAAAAATTATATGGGGAAATGATCTTGACATGGTATGAAGTGAAAAAATATGTAAAACTGTATTTATAGTCTTTTTGGTTGAGTTATAAGAGTTCTTTATATAATCTGGATACTAGTCCCTTATCACCTATATGATTTGCAAATATTTTCTCCCATTCAGTGTGTTGTCTTTTTATTTTCTTTAGTGTCCTTTGATTCCACTTTTGTTCTTAAGGTTAGTTATTTGTTGATTTAAATAACCTTTACACCTTGATTAAGAGTATTATCTTATCTCTATTAAGTGTTGACTCCTTGCTATGAAATAGTAATTTGTAAATTCTCATTTACCTGGGAATATACATCTGTGCCTTCCTTTGCTGGGAGCTGTTAAGGAAGAAACTACTTTTATATATATATATATATATTCTTTTTTAAAATATATATATATTATTATTTTATTTATTTTTTTTTTTTTTTTTACAGAGGGGAAGGGAGAGAGAGTTAGAAACATTGATGCGAGAGAAACATCGATCAGCTGCCTCCTGCACACCCCCTACTGGGGATGTGCCCCCAACCAAGGTACATGCCCTTGACTGGAATCGAATCTGGGTCTCCTCAGTCCGACGCTCTATCCACTGAGCCAAACCGGTTAGGGCAAGAAACTACTTTAATTTTTATAAAATATATGTTATTGATTTTTCACAAAGAGGAAGGGAGAGGGATAGAGAGTTAGAAACATCGATCAGCTGCCTCCTGCACACCTCCTACTGAGGATGTGCCCGCAACCAAGGTACTTGCCCTTGGCCGGAATCGAACCTGGGACCTTTCAGTCCGCAGGCTGAGGCTCTATCCACTGAGACAAACCGGTTAGGGCAAGAAACTAATTTAAAAAGATACTTTGCCCAGATAAAAGTAGAAAAAGAGTCCTGAGTAAAGTAGATAAATTTACCTGTTTTTTTCTTTGCAACAGAATGCATTAGTAAATACTTTGTAATGTACATTATTCCAGGAAATAAAATGGATAGTTTTCTGTTTATGATATCCCATTATACTGAATACCAAATGTTTCCTTGATGTACTGGTATTTTACATTCTCTTATAGAAAAAAAAAAAGAAGGCCACTCTGTTTTGTTGTTGCTGATTTTTTTTTTTTTTTTTAATGTAAAGATTAAGTAATCGAGTGCTTCTCTCCCTTCTGGGACTGAGGGACTGAATGTGATATCAGTTGATTTTGGCTAAGATGTATGTAGTGGCTGATAGCAGAAGTGGAAATTGAGTTACATCTCAACTTTGAAGAAAATTTTTCATGCATTTTTCTTTTTTTAAATATATTTTTATTGATTTCAGAGAGGGAAGAAGAGGGAGAGAGAGATAGAAACATCAATGATGAGAAAGAATCATTGATCAGTTGCCTCCTGCATGTTCCCCACTGGGGATTGACCCGAAACTCGGGCATCTGCCCTGACCAGGAATCGAACTGTGACCTCCTGATTTATAGGTTGACACTCAACCACTACATAAGCTGGGCTTATGCAGTTTTCTTAAGGGAACTTTTTTCAGTGGAGGACGAAAATGAAGTCATGAAGGAAGCTTGAAGTAGGTACATGAAGAAAAAGTAATTTTTAAAAATCTATCCAATTTGTCATGTAACAATTTATGATTTTTCTAGTCACTTTATCTTTCATAGCTGATGGTTTGTTTAACTCTATTCATATTATCATTTGTTGAAGCTTATAGTAGCTGTCGAACAAGAAGAAATTCCCAGACTTCAGGCCCTTTATGAGAGAGGCCTGCAGAATGGTGTCCAGGGCCTGAGGCTGATCCAGCAGGAGGATATAAAAAAGAAGGAGCCATATTGTAGGGTAAGTGATTCACAGCTCCACACACATGCTCACAGGGACATTTTCATTTAGGGCTCGGTCTTGTGAACATCGAGGCTGAAAGTGAATTTATAGGAGGAAGGAATTATATAGACACAGATAATCCTGTCACAAAAGCAGTGGGGTGACAAACACAAGAGGGCATTGCCACAAACTCTGGACACTTGATTTCTTCTTTCCCTAAGTCATTATAAGAAATATCCAAACCCGCAGAGCAAGCGTGTCAAACTCACGGCCGGCAGGTCTCATGCCTCATTTAAATAAGCGGGTCACGAGTTTGACATGCTTGCTGTAGAGAATTTTCCTAAGAGTTTATTTGAGCCAAACTGATGACATATGCCAGGGAACAAGATCTCAGATGCTCTGGAGAATAAGTTTTACAGCTTCTTTTATGCATTTGAAATTACAGAGGGAAGTTTACAGGAAGGTGAGAGAAAGCAAGGCAGGGATTATTAGATTAGGATAGTTAGCAAGATTATGTGCTCTCTTGGGGGTGGTTACAGTTTATTTCTATGGTGTGTTAACCTAAATGCACAGACACAATAGACTAGGCTTGCTTAAGGCAAATATAAACCTCTTAAAAATATATTTTTTTAATTGATTTGAGAAAGAGAGGAAGGGAGAGGGAGAGAGAGAGAAACATCGATCAGTTGCCTCCTGTACGCATCCTGACCTGGGATCGCACCCACAAGCTGGATATGTGCCCTGACCAAGAATCGAACCAGCGACCTTTTAGTGCATGCAATGCTCAGACCAACTGAGCCACACCAGCCAGGTCGCAAAGATAAACTTTTTACTAAAGAGGTTATATGCCTGGGACATGACTACCCACCATGACCGGTCAAGTTAGGAATTTATGATCAGATCACCCTGTGAAATTACTTTCCATAGAACCCCTCTTTTCACTCACACTAATGAAAAAATACCAGGTCTGAAGGACATAAGCAAATGCAAGAAGAGGTCTGAGATCATATGATATGTTTGGAAAGCACTGTGAGGTGTGGTTAGATCACAGGGTGTATAGGAAAATATAAAAAGTGAGACCAGAAAGGCAGAATTAGGCTCACATAAAGGGCCTGATATTCATGCTGATAACTTTGTAGTTTATCTAGTAGGCACAGAAGCCACTGAAAATTTTTGAGGAGAGTGGCTTTGATATCCAGTCTGTATTTTAGGAAGATAAGTATGGCATGAGTGTGAAGGGTGGGTTGTAGAGTATCTTGCTTAAACATGCTATAGGTAAAAATCTCCCTTTTATTCATGAGAGAGACATGAAAAATAATACTCTGCATAACAACTTTCTTTGATAGCCTTTCAGACACTATCAGTTCAACCTGTAGTTCCATTGGCTGTTCCAGTGAATGGCTGTATCTCCTGTTCCTTCTCCCCTACCTTTTTATTCACAATATGGAATAGCTGGACTCCAGCCCGCTGGTGTAGTTCAGTGGTTGAGGATGTCACAGTTTGGTTCCTGGTCAGAGCACAAGCCCCGGTTGCAGACTCTATCCCCAGTAGGTGGCGTACAGGAGGCAGCCGAGCAATGATTCTCGCTCATCATTGATGGTTCTATCTTTCTCTCCTTCTCCCTTCCTCTCTCTAAAATCAATAAAAGCACTAGAAAGAAAAATAGCTGGACTCCAGGTACCTGTGTTAAAGAGTCTGGCTTCTAACTCATTGCCAGACAATGCTTATCAGAAGCTTTTAGTTTAGTCAGAGAGTTTAGGACAGGTGAACTTCCACTGAAAGATGACTAAGTAGTGTAATTTATAAAAGAGGTATGCCCTGCTTTTCTCTGAGGCCTCTGCAGAAGTGATCTACTTTATATAATGCCACATTGTAATTTTCAGTGCCTACATAGGGTGGCAATATACTAGTATAGTAGAAAATATAGTCTGGTTATTTCATAAAGGTGTCTTGAGTAAATTCCTCCTTTCTTTCCCAACCTCAGCACTGCTACCAGCAATGATGGGCAAAATTTGCATAGTACAAGATTACTTCTGTTTCTTCTAGGACCTCCAAAAGGAAAAGTATATTAGGGCAGCTCTAAAGGGCTTCTTAGAGCAGATTCCTTTCAGCAAAAGATTTAAGTGCTCCCAGGGAAGCATTTTGGAAAATTTTAAACTGGCTCTTCGAACTTTGACTTTGGAGGATAGCTCTTGAGAGCTCTCTTCTGGGCAGATCCTGACAGCTGCTTCTGACCTTAGCTGTGCAGATTCATCCATTGGTCAACCACATGTTCATCTGTTCCTCCTGACTTCTAACTCCCAGTGTTCCCTGTTTTGCTTGCCTGGTTCTTTTCTAGCCATCTGACCTGCTGTGGCCTAAGATTTCAAGTTCTGACCTGCTAACCTGGACAGTGCATGCCCAGCTCCTGGCAGACTACTAGCCTGTCCAACCCCCATCCTGGGCCAGGGCATTGGATTGCTTGGCGGCAGTGACTCGCTGCCTTCCCCCAACATACATGTATAGGTAGGGCCCACCAGCATCTCATGAGGAGGGGCAAGGCCAAGGCCAAAACTAGAAAGGGAAAGAAAAGAAAGGAGATCTTTTAGAGAAGGTCTAGAAAGGGAAAATATCTGGTATGTTTAAAGATAGCAACCTTCAAAAGTTCATTCATTTAGTAAATGTTTGAGTGCCTTGTGTGTCAGGCATTATACTAGGTAATAGGAATATATGAAGATACTTGGAATTCCAAAAATCTATTGATATGGAGCATTTTTACAGCACACTTTTATCCCACTGTTATATTTGTCACAGAGTTTTATGCTAGGTAAGAAAGTTTTTGTGACTAATTGGTATTATCCTAATTTAGATTTTAAGATTATTGTACCCAAAATACTATTTATAGGTTGAAATTGAATTATAGCTATTGACCTATGAATTTAGGGATTGTCAAGCCATATAAAGTCTAATATAATATCTTAGTGTATCTACTCTATCAAAACAAAAGGACTGATTTCCTGTACTTGGGCAAATGCTCTCATATTCTGGAAGCAGACCATCAGGAAAATGGTGAGGTTTTTCAAATGTTGCTTTTAGTTCGTGAAGATAGACTGTTGGGTGTTTTGGGAGCCTTTACCCTTAGTGTGATCTGGGCACATGGCAGTACTGGTCAGGGGTGGGTAGCAAAGTCAAAAGCTTTGAAGGATAAGCAGGTAAATGTATTGGGATAAGGGTGGGGCACTGGATACAGTAATACAGTGACATGCTATGCTGGCCAAACAAGAAGATAGCAGCATTTACCAGTCATACTCAGCTTCTGGGTCTTAGTCATCCTGGAACCAGGCAATCCTCTTAGAGAAGATTGATAGAGACAACTAATCTCATACACATTAAGGCAAGATAAAATGGTACTATCACTAAGGGTTCCTCAAAGTGTAGTCTGTACTTAGTGTGTGAAATTCTACTTTTATCCTTTTCTTCAGAATTAGAAGAGGGTACATTTATTCCAAAAAATTAAATAAGTAATGCTTATAAATCATTCATCTATAGAGTTTGAACATATCTTGGCAAAACACACACACACACACACACACACACACACACACACAAACACACACATACCAGAAGAACAACCCAGGCTGTTAATTTCTCATATACCTGAAGAGAAAGTTTGAATTAACCATATGTGATCTTCATTCAGTATTTGCAGTCTTGAAAATAGAGTCTGCAGCAAATCAAATCAATGCTCTGCAAACATATGAACAATTCTGAGTTTTCACTGAGTGTGTATGACATATGATCCACTACTAGGAAAATCTCAGTGAAGCTTATTTAAAACTTTAATCGGAGAACATTATGGTAAGTGAAATAAGCCAGTCATAGAAAGACAAGTACCATATGATTTCGTTCATATGTGGAATTTAATGAACAAACTGAACTGACTACCAGGCAAAATAGAGACAGACTCATAGAGAGCAAGCAGCCAGCTCTGGTGTGTGTTTGGGGGCAGGTTTGGGGGAGGGGTTGAGAAAAAAAGGAAAAAAAAGAGAACTCATAGACAACAGTGGGGAGGTGAGGTGGGAGAGGGGATAAATGGTGATGAGAAAAATTAAATTTAAAAAAATTATTGTTTAGTGATACAGAATTCACCTCAATCAGATATGAATCAGGATGAGGGATGAATAAAACTGAAAAACTCATTGTAGGAGCTGGAAGAGCCTAGCAAAATGAACTCCTTTAAGGAAGAGAATTATTTTCTGATTATAGAAATTTTCTTATTTAGTTAGTGTTACTTCTTATATCTGTTTGGACATATTGAATCTATATATATAAAAGCCTAAGCGACCATTACAACAGAATGACCGGAATGACTGGCCAACCAATTGCTATGATGTGCACTGACCACCAGGGGGCAGACGCTCAATGCAGGAGCTTCCCTCTGGTGGTCACTGTGCTCCCACAGGGGTAGTGCCACTCAGCAGAAGCCGGGCTCATAGCGGTGAGCACAGCTGCGGATGCGGAAGCCTCTTCCAACTCCGTGGCAGCACTACTGAGTGGCAGCAGCAGGTGCAGCAGGCTGGGATGAGTGCAAGTGGTGTGGCACCTGGCCCCGGGTTCTGGCTCCTCCCTGGCCACATGCCATTTGGCGCACTGCTACATCCCTTGGGGGATGTCCAACTGACCTGCAGGGATGGGGCCTAAACCGGCAGTCAGACATCCCCCAAGGGGTCCCGGATTGCAAGAAGGAGCAGGCTGGGCTGAGGGACACCCCCTGCCCTCAGTGCATGAATTTTGTGCACTGGGCATCTAGTATATACATACAGGGTGAGGCAAAAGTAGTTTTACAGCTGTGAGTACATGAAACACAGGATTCATTCTTATATATATTTTTAATTATTGTATCATTTTCCATATGAGCAACTGTAAACCTACTTTTTGCCCCACCCTGTATACTCAAGTTCAAATTCAGGAACTATGGAGCAAGCTTTTATTTTTCTTTAAAATTATCAGGGGTTTTTTCCTTCAAGAAAGCATAATGTGTGTTACCCATCAAAATAACCAGTAAAGCCCTAACCGGTTTGGCTCAGTGGATAGAGCGTCCGCCTGTGGACTGAAAGGTCCCAGGTTCGATTCTGGTCAAGGGCATGTACCTTGGTTGTGGGCACATTCCCAGTAGGGAGTGTGCAGGAGGCAGCTGATCGTTGTTTCTAACTCTCTATCCCTCTCCTTTCCTCTCTGTAAAAAATCAATAAAATATATTTTTTAAAAATAACCAGTAAAAATTTTCAGCACAAAATAAAATTTATTCAGCAAACTGTCCTCGGTGATTTTTAATTGTAATGTCTTGACTTTTTCATAATCCTACCCCAGGGTCTAATGGCTATTGATTGCCCATATACTGGCATTGTGGACTATCGTCGGGTGGCTTTGTCATTTGCCCAGGATTTTCAAGATGCGGGTGGCTCTGTTTTGACCAATTTTGAAGTAAAAGATATTGAAATGGCTAGAGAAAGTCCTTCAAGAAGTGAAGATGGTAAGCCGTCCTTGTCTTTTCTTTTGAATACTTGCATTGACTTCTAAACAAATTTTGGACTGCTTTTGGCTGGGGTGGTGCTGGGGGAGGTCCACCAGGAGTTGGGCTAGCGTAGGGCACAGAGCTGGAGACAGGTGCAGAAGGTAAGATTGGATGTGGGCAAACTGGAACTTCCAGCGAGTCTCGTATTGATAGAACTAGGCACTGATAGGACACTTATGACTGATGTTAAAACCTGAGTTGCCGCCCTGACCGCTTTGGCTCAGTGGATAGAGCGTCGGCTTGCGGACTCAAGGGTCCCAGGTTCGATTCCGGCTAAGGGCATGTACCTTGGTTGCGGGCACATCCCCAGTAGGGGGTGTGCAGGAGGCAGCTGATCGATGTTTCTCTCTCATCGATGTTTCTGACTCTCTGTCCCTCTCCCTTCCTCTCTGTGGAAAATCAATAAAATATATTTTAAAAAAAACAAAAAAAAACCTGAGTTGTCAAGGCTGTTTATATAAAACTAGAGGCTGGATGCACAAATTTGTGCACAGGTGGGGTCCCTCGGCTTAGCAGGTAATCGGGGCTGGTCGGGGGGTAGGGGTTATGGGAGGCAGGCTGGCCAGCTGGGGTCGGGAGGGGCTACAGGAGGTTGGCCAGCACAGGAGATTGGCTGTGGGAGCACACTGACACCAGGGGGCAGCTCCTGTGTTGAGCATCTGCCCCCCTGTGGTCAGTGTGCATCATAGCGGCTGGTTGACCAGTTGTTCTGGTCATTTGGTTGTACCGGTCACTTAGGCTTTTATATATAGACTAGAGGCCTGATGCACGAAATCATGCAAGGGCCTCAGCCCTTGTGGCTGCGGCAGCTTGCCTCAGCCCCAGCCCCGGCTTCGTCTGGAAGGACGTCCAGAAGGTCATTCTGCTGTCCGTCTAATTAGCATATTATGCTTTTATTATTGTAGATTAGCCCCCAAATTCTTCCTTAGCCTGTAGGTTAGAATCAGAATCCCTGGGGGTGTTTGTTAAAACTGCAGACGTTAGCATCACCCAGTATTACTGAAGTAGATTGTCTGTGGATAGGACATGACTTAGCCATTCTGAACAACCCCCTTTGGGGATTTTTATTTTTTTAACTAAATGAATCGGTTTGTAAATTTTGAATTTGCTTTGGGGAAATTTGAGGGAAAATGTAATGTGCTGGGTTTATTCTTCCTTGACAGGTTTGTTTTTTTTTGGAGGTTTGGGCCATATGAATCATCCTCCCAGTGTCCTACTAAATTCTAAGATGATGAGCAAAATTGTTAAATAATTAAGGTTGTTATAGGTAGGTAGCATAATCAATAAAATTTATTCATGGTAAAAGTAGATCATATTCTTTAACTGTTGCACTTATGTGTTATAAGACTTCAATATCCCTTGTATCTGATTGGAAACTAATTTTATAAATACTTTATTATTGGAAGATTTTGTGTTTTAATAACTTTTGTTTCTTTTCACAACATAGAATCTACAGAGATCCAGTAACCAACATTTGAACAACAAGTGTCATAACATTAGTCCTGTGGGAAAATACATACTGATTTATGATGATCTATTTTATAGCATGGTGCTTAGATGTGTAGTTCAGAGAAAAAAGCTGTGACTGCTTATGCTAGAGCTGAAGTGGTGGGAGGTTGATAAGCATAGATTAAGTGAATTTATATAAAATAATCTAAAAAACATTCCAGAGTTTTATATATTGTCAAATATGAACTAGTTTAATCTTATTACTTGGTAAAAGCTTCAGAATGAAATGTGAAAAGTAATCATGGTTGTGACAAGAAACCCATTTAAGTTTGTTACTAGTATATTTCAAATACTGTAGGCCTTCTTTTACTAAAAATAAATCTTTCACCAATTCCTTTTTCCTTTTTTTTTTCCAGGGATGAAATATCCAATTGTTATAAGGAATACAAAGGTAAAGATTCTTAAGCAAAACTACTTCCATCTATTTTATCTACTTTCATCCCCTCTCCTTTCTTTTTTTAAAATTTTATTTTATTGATTTTAGAGAGAGAAAGATATTGATCGGTTGCCTCCCACACACACCGGGCCCAGCGATTGAACCCACAACCCAGGTATGTGATCTGACTGGAAATTGAACCTGCTACCTTCTGGTGTATGAGATGATGCTCAAACAACTGAGTACACTGTGCAGGACCCACTCCTTTCTTAAAAAGTTGAATTAACCACTGTATTTTATGTCAGTGAATGGAATTTGTCTGATGTAAAGTTATTGTGAGAGAGATTCTTTGAGAGCTAAAATATAACAGTTTTCATTCTAAGAAGGGTTTCAACTTGGAAATGCATTCATATAGTGACAGTGCCAGCAAAAAAATATGATTATAAGTACTTGGAGTATTTAATTTTAAGGCAAAACTGATAGATATTTTATTGTTCTACCTGCTTATCTATATTAACTTATCAACTCTCTACTAATGAGAAGACTTGGGGGAGGGTGTAGATCAGTGATGGCGAACCTATGACACACGTGTCAGAGGTGAAAACGCGAACTCATTTTTTTGGTTGATTTTTCTTTGTTAAATGGCATTTAAATATATAAAATAAATATCAAAAATATAAATCTTTGTTTTACTATGGTTGCAAATATCAAAGAATTTCTATATGTGACACGGCACCAGAGTTAAGTTAGGGTTTTTCAAAATGCTGACACACCGAGCTCAAAAGGTTCGCCATCACTGGTGTAGATTGTACAGAGGGTGATACACTGCCTTCCTTCTCTTCCCATAATCTAAAACAAGAACTATTTGATAGATAGACGTATTGCATTCACTGTGTGTTCTTGAATGGTCAGAGTTCAGTCAGGAAAGCAAAGTCCGTAATGAGTGTAGTCGGATTTATGGTAGGAATTAGGTCTGACACATTGTGAACCACCTGGGAAGTCAAGGTTCAGAAGGAGAGTTGGTAGATTAGAGGCATATCCAGCCAGTCTGAGAAGCCAAAGTGTATCTACCTGCTGAAGTGGAACCGCAAATGAGAAGCTCATGAGGAGATCTGGGGCAGCTCTTGTCTACAGCCAGGTCTTGGGTAGGACAGCGGTTGGTCAGTAGGATCATTATGTGGGAAGCAGAGCTGGGTGTGGAGCTATAATTCACTTGGCAGTGAGTGTTTATCACCACCTTGGCCTAGAGTGACCTTCAGAGAATAGTGGCTGCTACTTTACTTCTACCTGTCAAATCACATTCAGTTCCTATTTGGTCAACTTTAAGGTGGAACGATACAGGGAGGGGATTCTGTCAAGCATAGTTCCCCGTTTAACCAAATTGACACAGTATAACCTCCCAGTCCATCCCTTTTCAGTTTGCCATCCAATCACACCCCTTATAACCACATTTACTTTCCAAATAAAGACAGTAATAAAATCATGCTTCCACCTACAAGGCTCAACTATCTTTCATACAACTGAAGGCATGCTTACTACCACAACAGAATACCACCGGCTTAAACAATAGAAATTTATTTTGTCACAGTTCTGGAGGCTCAAAGTCTAAGATCAGGGTGCCATCGGGGTTGGATTCTAGTGAGAGCTTTCTCGGCTTGTAGATGGCTGCCTTCTCACTGTGACCTTACATGGTCTCTTCTCTGTGCATGCTCATATAGTGACAGTGCCACTATAGTCACAGAAAGAAGGAGGGGAGAGAGAGAGAGAGAGAGAAAGAGAGAGAGAGAGAGAGAGAGAGAGAGAGAGAGAGAGAGAGAGAGAGAGAGAGAGAGAGAGAGAGAGAATATGAGAATTTGAGTACACACAATTTTTGGTGTCTTTCTCTTATAAGAACACCAGTCCTATCAGATTAGGGCAGTGATGGCGAACCTATGACACGCGTGTCAGAGGTGACACGTGAACTCATTTTTTTGGTTGATTTTTCTTTGTTAAATGGCATTTAAATATATAAAATAAATATCAAAAATATAAATCTTTGTTTTACTATGGTTGTAAATATCAAAAAATTTCTATATGTGACACGGCACCAGTTAAGTTAGGGTTTTTCAAAATGCTGACACGCCGAGTTCAAAAGGTTCGCCATCACTGGATTAGGGCTTCACTCCTGTGACTTCATTTAACCTTAATTATTTCCCTAAAGGCTCTATCTCCAAGCATAGTCAAATGGGGAGTTGAGGCTTCAACATATGAATTTTGGGGGAAAGGGGAACACAATTCATTTTATAACAATAAGGAAGAAGAAAGAATTGGTTAATTATAGACATATCTTTATTTCACAGTAAGGAAGAAATTACTACATTTCTCAGAACTATATTCCTCATTTATGTCACCAATCATGTGGTCATGTGGTCATATTTATAATTTCCTTCTTCCACTATCTATTCCATACTCCCTTTGCCCTTGGCAAGCCTCTCAGCTGGTCATGGTTCCTAGTTTGGCAGGAAAACTCAAACTTTTATTCCTGAAGTGTCTCTGCCATTAGCAGCCCTGCCTGTTTTATGTTGTAGTGGTTTCCATCAACTTTTATAGCAATGTGTGGGGATACCAAGAGATAGGCCAGGAGATCTATAGCCCACACATACTCCGCTTTATCATTCCCAAGCTCTCTGTGTGGTAGCAACTCTCTTTCTCCTTGAAAGTCAGGACCAGTTACCCCATTCAGTCCTAGACGGTGTGATTCCTGGTCAGGGCACTTGCCTGGGTTGTGAGCTCGATCCCCAGTAGGGGGCATTCAGGAGGCAAGCCAAACAATGATTCTCTCTCGTCATTAATGTTTCTATCTCTCCCTCTTCCTTCCTCTCAGAAATCAATAAAAATATATATTTTTTAAAATTATCCCATTCAGTACAGTAACCTTCATTGCCTTTTGATTCACTGTCACGAGGAACTCAAAATGGCCAAGGATGACAGTATTAAATTCTAGTGTAATGGAACCATTGCATATTCTCTAATGGAAGCACTTCTCCCTTGGTACCTAAGACTTCTAAACCATTAGAGCCCAAAGTTGTGGGGCGAGGAAGCTGAAATTTGGATTAGAAGCAGAAACTGTGTAAGGTGCTACTCCCATTTCTACCTCTTGATCTTCTGAGCTGTGATTCCTGACTATGGGAGAAACAATACCATATATTAATTACTGATTTAGAGCATATAGTGCATCCTGGAAGACCTTGCCCCAGCCCTGCAGGGTGTTGCTAGTCAGCTAGTGCTGTTATTGAATCTTCAAAAGTCCTTTCCACGCTATCACCCAGCGGCTTCAGGATGCGGGAAATGATAACATCAGTGAATTCCACAAGCATGAGCTTATCATTATACTTCATTTACTGTAAAGTAAGCTCACTGATCAGAAGTCATGCTTCTGGGTAAAATACCATAATAAAATTGATTAAGTTCACAGATGGTGGTTTCTGCAGAAGTGTTGTGGGTAGGGAAGGCAAATCTATATCCACAGCAATTGTCTATTCCAGTGAGGACTAAGTGCTGCCCCCCTCCCCTTTATTTAAATTGGGAGACTGAGCACTCTCCCAACAGCAGATCGAGTGGCTGTAGACACATCAGCCTTAATAAGTCCATGTTGCTGATCCCACACGTCACCTCCATCCTTACTGCCATAATCATGTAGTTTGTGAAGTCATTGGCTAAGGGCAGAGCTGGCTGGGAAAGAGGCTGACTAATGTTCACAGAGTAGGTCATCTTGTCTCCTGATTATTAAAATCTTCCTCTGCCCCAGTTACTCTTCAGTGAGCTTACTCTTCAGTATGGAACTTAAATACCTTTATCCTCCGAGCCTTTTTGGAGAGGTCCATTCACACACCTCTTCTCAGAGCTCCTTTTCTTGACCAGCCAGCCAAACCATCAGTCATTGCACATGCAACTGTGTAGATGCATACTTCTGGCCATCTCTCCTTCTGGGTGAGATAAACAACCAATGTAGTGTTCAAAGTTCTACCGGCTGGGAGCATTTCCACAGTCCTTCGGGCCACTCTCCGGTGGGGCTCTGGTGCTGCCACTGTTTGCTTTCGAGTGGTGCCAGAATGGTGTGCAGAACCATTTGTAAACCAGGCCTCTATTTTTTCTTCCTTGGCCAACTGGAGATAGAGAATTTCCTATGGGGCTCAAGGGCAAGTTGAGAGGGAGGAGGTAATTTTGTTGTTAATTCTCACCCAAGGATATTTTTTCCATTGACTTTTAGAGAGAGAGAAAGAGAAACAGATGTGAGAGACACATCGATTGGTTGCCCCCCGCACATGCCCTGGCCAGGGCCAGGGATCCAACCTGCAACCCAGGTACATGCCCTTGACTGGGAGTCGAACCCACAGCCCTTCAGTGCATGGGCCAATGCTCTAACCATTTAGAACACCAGCCAGGGCAGGAGGAGGTAATTTAGTCGGAGTAGAGGCCATGGGAATTTAAGCCACTTGCCTCTGCAGCTTATTTGTGCCAGCAAGACCTGTACAACCCTGATCTTGTATATTCTACTTCCTCTTGATAACAGAGGCTACTGTACACACCCAGTTTTGTGGCTTGGAGAGTTAGATAATACCGTCCTAATGATGGGTAGTTCACGTGGTAACTTGGTGGCCTGTGGTCAAATGTTGAGTCAGAGCCAGAAGCACGTTCTCAAAAGGAGGATAATTATCTGCAGAGGGTGGTATAACTTTCCTCCAAAGTCGTAAATTCTGTGCTCAGATTTCACCTACAGGGGCCTTCCAAAGTCTCCGTAAAACATGGCTATCTCCTCCAGACACTTTAAGTCCCGTCAGATCTGCTGGCAGAGCAACCAGCGTCTCTATTCAAAGAAGGATTAAAAGTCTGTTTCTGTCCCTACCTACCGGTTATTTTCACTAGAGTATGGCATCATATGATGGCTGATGAGCGGGAGCTTATGGGATACCAGTGGGTTATATTTCACCCACAGTTGCTATAATTGTAGACTTTTATTTTGGCATATTCCTTTAGTTAAATAATAACTTAAAAATTTGAGTCAACTTACCAAATTGAACATCTGTGCTTTTACGAGGTTAAAAGAAAAGGAATTAAAAAAAAAAAAACTTTTGAGGGGAGGATTTGGAAGCTAAAATTTAGAGATTGCATATAGGAGAAAAGTCTGTTTCACTTATGAAATAGCAATAGAGATGAATAGTTTAATTTTTTTAAAGAAATGTATTTTTGAACAAATGCTGTATCATTTGATGTTTACCTAAATTTACATTTTGGATATGAAATTAGTGTGAATGTAATTATTGTTTCATATATATCATAAAGTGATGTCAGAGACCTGTGACAGTTTTTAATCATGTCTTCCTTTGGAACTGTTTCTTGAGTTTTTTAAAGAGAACTGTTAGATTATTAGAATGCTGGTACCATTCTACAAATTCTCTTATCATTACATTTATCATATGGCTTATCTACATTTTATGTTGTAAGAATATGAGAATTGCTGACATTTCAAGTAAGGACTGGTAGATTCATATCACATAAAATATTTCTTGTACTTCTGCTATATAACTCCAGATGAATAGGAAAGATATTAACCAATTTAGAAGAAGTCATGTTTTTTTTGTTGTTGTTGATATAGCCCTTTGACTTCAAGTGTCTTAAAACTATCATGGTTTAGCCTAGCTAATTTGAACTCACTGCAAAGAAGTTTCATCTAATTTTTGTCAGAAGTGTGACTTGAATAAATCTTGAAAAGAGGCTTACCTTGGTAGGTAGGCAAAAATAGGATGCATACAAAGATAGAATAAGGCTGAACCACTAGGGCCTGAAAAGAAAGAATATTAGGACAGATGAGAACTCTGAGGCTTCAGAAACAGGTCATCTGGGGAGGAAATCTAAGAACAAGAAATTACAAGGAGATGCTAGGTTTTACTGTGTGAGAAGTAAAGAGATGGGAGTTGGAATGTGGTGGTGAATTGGGGTTAAATGAAATTATTTAGGAAATAGGGTAGTAAATTGGCTAACCCTAGCAGAGCTCATCTAAAAATATGTAGGTGATAATCACAAACAGAATTTATGGGGAAATACCACAGCCTAAGATTAGCAGTCTCCTAGTTGTGAAAGCAAACCTTGACTGTAGTGTGTGTACTCTGTAAATGTGGATTGAATGAATGGGGTTTTGAAAGTAGCCTCAGTTTGCAAAGTAGACATTGAACAGGAAGGAGAAATTGGTTGGTGGTGGGTTGCCGTTGTAGTGTGAAGCAACTTGATAATTATCAGGATAGTTACTCATAGATAAGATAAGGAGAAGCTGTCTGAAATACAGAGGCAGCCAAACTGGTGGGGGGACATCTAAATGAAGTTTGCTTCTTCATGCAACAAATAGTTAAGAAGTTCTGTAATCTTAGTAAAGTGTGTGCATGTGTGTGTGTGTGTGTGTGTGTATGTGTGTTGTGTGTAGTATCTTGTTAAGTATCCTCACTAAGTAGGTCAACGATTGAATCATTAAAGGACAAAATTTAAGGTAACATCCTCTTGCCTGCCACTACCCTAAGTTTCTAGCTGCCACCTAAATGCTGAAGAATTTATGTTGCTGATACTTGCATTTAATTTCCTCTTTTAAAAGGAATAAAAAGAAAAACGTCCCTTTCTGTATACTTATTTATTGTCTCTTCTATCACCTGTTTTTCTGCTTTCTAAAAATCATTGTTCTTCTTTTACACATTAGGGAGAGGAAGTTCAATGTCAGTATGTTGTGACATGTGCAGGACTTTACTCGGACCGTATTTCCGAGCTGAGTGGCTGCAGTCCCGATCCGCAAATTGTACCATTCCGAGGGGATTACCTGCTGTTGAAGCCAGAAAAATGCTATCTTGTGAAAGGAAATATTTATCCGGTAGGTATGATGCTTTTGCAGTCTCATCCTTCTCAAGATGACAGGGCAGAAAGGGAATGAAACAAAAACTTTTACCTGGGTCAGAACTAAGAGATATTTTGAAGGGCTTTTTATGCAAGCTTTTTATCTTTTTCTCTTATGATTAAATTCCTAAACATTTATTCTGGTATCATAGTCATTAACTTATAGTAAATTGCCCACAAGTACATGTCTTCAGAAAGCTTGAGTGCATCATGGGAAGGGCTAGCAAGAAATAACCCAATTCTCACTCGTATCTGGTGAAAGGAACACTCATAAGAGAACTTGCCCTTTTTGCATGCCCAGATACCCAGCCCTCTTTCTCAGTTCTACCTATAGGTGCAGAAAAAGGGGCTGTGGCCACTCTGTAGTTTCATGATGGAGAAGACAGAGCCCTTCAATGAAGAGTTCATTCTGCATGGAACTACTAGGTTAAACCAGACGGAATTACTAATATTTGTCTACTTAGAGTTTTTGACTTTGCCAAAACATCCATTGCATGTGCTCTATCCCAGTACGTTCCAACTTTACAAAAGCCTGTGCTATGAATGAGTGTGTGTTTCTGGCAGCTCTGATTTTACTTGCCAGCCACATACATCCCTAGTTGGGGGTGTGGTGGGAGGGTAGGGAGAGGGATAACCTGAAGTAGGGCAGTTCTTTTTTTTTTTCTTTACCCAGAAAGAGGAATAGATGGGAGTGTATATTAGTGTCAGTTGCATCAGTGTTTTCTGTGTGGCATTCCTAGGCAGAAGCATGTAAATAAAAAGTATATCTCAGTCCGGATCAAAATAATACAAATTAAATGCATGGGAAGAAAGTGATTTATATTACCAGTTGAATATTTGCATGCATGCTAACATGCAGTATGGAACAGGGCTCACAGTTCTTTGCTGCGTTAAATCCGTAGGTCCCAGATAGCCGGTTTCCTTTCCTAGGAGTTCACTTCACACCAAGGATGGACGGCAGTATTTGGCTAGGGCCTAATGCCGTTCTTGCCTTCAAACGAGAGGGCTACAAACCCTTTGACTTCAGTGCCCGAGATATTACGGATGTAATTACCAAGAGGTAACTACTTTATTTTAAAAAGTGACTTTGTGTGTTTATATTTTTAACATGGGAAATTTTGTCTTTCTTGAAATTCTACTTATTGGGTAAATCCTCACATTTGTGATTATTATATTGATTTTTTTTATTAATCTAAATTAAGAGCCTTGAAGAATAAGAATAATGTTTTAACTACCTCAGGGAAATTCTGATGATCCAGGGTGAAGTCTTGGTTAAAAATAACAAGACCAAGACCCAGTCACATACATATGTGACAGCCCAAACCTTGTTTTGCTAACCTTCTAGTTGCATTTGAAATCACTTACTTTGATAAAGTGATTTCAAGCCAGTCACCATCATTTTGAAAACCACTGGAGAAACTTCGGACAACCAAAGTTGTTTCCTTCGGTGGAAAATTAACAGTGTGTTGACCCGAGACACAGAATCTTTACTTTATTGTAAGAACTCAGTAAGGTGTTGTGTGTTTTTGTTTTTGTTTTTTGGTTGTCTTCTTGGGGGAGGAGGTGCGGGGGATGGTTCATTTTAGCAGTGTTGCTCTCCAGAGATTTTCACATCAAAATTACTAGAAAGGTTTTTGCGTTATACTTGAATTTCACCTTCTACAGATTCTGAAACAGGTTTGGGATGGGGTTTTCTAGCATGTGTCCTTTAAAATTACATATATACATAGACTACACAGAGTCTCACTTGAGAATCATTACTAGAGTATCTTACTTGAGAATCATTACTAGAGTATCTTACCTCTGGCTGATTAAAAAAAAAAGGTAAACATCTATCTTACTTCTTTAATGTCCTGAGGTAAAGATCTGCTAATGCCTTTTAGGTGTGTTTTGAAAGCATGTAACATTTGTATCAGAAAGCCTTTTAGTGGCAGGCTCTATAGAATTCTAGTTTGAAGCCAGCATTCTCAGGCCATCTAAGGTGTTTACCTTTGAAAGGTGTTTACCTTTGGTTTTGAAGGGCATTCCTTTGATGAAGTTCCCTTCTTACAGTGGCCAAAAGTTGATTTTCTTTTAATATGTGGTTTGTCTGACTTCGCCTAGATTTTTGTGATGCCCCGGTCCAAATCTAATAGTTGTAAAGATATTTAATAGTAATAACGAATTCCTTTCTCTCAAAGATTTTATTTTCTGTTTCCAGTGGCTTGATTAAACTGGTGTCCCAGAATTTCTCCTATGGAGTCAGTGAGATGTATAAAGCCTGTTTTCTCAGTGCAACAGTGAAGCACCTTCAGAAGTTTATCCCTGAAATTACTGTCCGTGATATCCTTAGGTAAGAAAAAGCCATAAGGATTGTAAGTACAGTCATGATTTTAGGGAACTTGGGAGGTGGGTCTGACTTGGTGATTCATAGGCTCCCTTTCAGTCGGTGTGCCCACTGAATCTTTGTGTGCTCTCTCTTTCCCAGCAAGTTGTTGTGTTCCCTTTGCAGTGCATGAGTTGGGCATCGCTGCATGGTGGCCCTTAGTGCTGGAACTACGTCTACCATATATAATTATCTAGACTACCTTACAACATTAAACTGAAATCTCCATTGCATCTGTATTAATATGCCACTGTCACCTTTGTGTCTAGCTGTCACTCATGATAAAAAAAAATCTTGTCTGAAATTTTTTCAAAAAGATTTTTTATTGATTTTTAGAGAAGGAGAGAAAAGGGTGGAGGGGGGGGGGCGGAGAAACATCAATGTGAGAGCGAAACATCAGTTGGTTGCCTCCTGCACACCCCTTACCAGGGATTGAGCCTAAAACCTAGGTATGTGCCCTGATCCGGAATCGAACTGGCAACCATTTAGTGCACAGGATGACGCCCAACTAACTGAGCCATACCATCCAGGGCTTGTCTGAAATTTTTAAGCTTTCCCTGGCTTCTGCCTCTTGTGATTCCAAAGCCTTTTCCTTTAATTCTGTATAAGATCAGTGGTCACCATATTAACTAATTAGGTAATAAACACATTACAATGCTCTATTTTGTTTGATTCTTAAAAACTTCTAGAAACCACTCCTATACTTGGCATCTTACCTTACCTCTTTCCCACTGCTTTTTTTTTCTTTTTGGGGATCATACTCCACTCAGCAACTCTACTTTCAGGACAGAAGTGGGAAGTAGTGTAGTAACTATCAATGTGAGTCAAAGGAAGGATTACTTAAATTATTTTGGTGTGTGTTTCTTTTTGTTTGTTTGTTTGTTTTTCTTAAAGGTCAAAAGCTTTCTGGACTTGGTCTGTAAGTTATCCTAAATACTACCCGAGCCTATTTCCTTTTCTCGTTGGTGGCATTTGTATGGTGTTCACCTTTTCCTCCCGAATAAGCCATTTGTTAGGCCTAATCAGCAGTGTACTTTAAGATACTCCCCTCCATGAATCCATCCCATGAATCTTCAGAGAACTAAATGTCTGTCGCTTCGGTAACAGCTGCAAAACTTGACTGGTATAAAATGTCAGCAGCTTGACTATCTGGGAAGAGAGCAGTCGTCATGTCAGCTGTCTCCCTTGGGGGAACGTCCTGGTCTAAGTCTGACTCTAATATATCATTCACAGACCAGCCTCTTTGAATCTTTAGAAGAACTATGAAAACCAAGCTAATGTTTTATTTACTCTTATCTCTCTCACCCTTCTACTTACCTTCTGAAATGGAAGGGATAAAAATATCTAGGCTTTATTTTCTTTCACTCATCTATAAATAAAGGCTTTTATGTTTTCAGTGGTTTGCTTTAGCAAACTTGTTATGTTTTATATCTAAAATAAGTTGGTCATATCTGGTGTCTGTTACTGCTATTGATATTCCTTGGAAAATACAATAGGTGTATAAACAGTTGCAGTGAATTCACTGTTCATATTCGATTACCACCCTTTTGTAAAAGCCTGAGGGAAACAGTTCAGACCAGTGGATTTCATAAGTTAGAACTGGACTGGGGCTGGTGGGTTTTGGTGAACACTTCTTTGTCTCTGCCTGTGGGAGTGTTGATTTCAGTTAGCAGGTAGTAGAGAAGGGTATTCAGCATTGTAGGCAGGTGCATTTAGGGACAAATTCACCTCAATCACAGATGAGTTTCTCTTTGGAGATAGAAAAGTAATTCCATTTACTTCTTCCCTTTTATTCAGTTCCTATAGCTATTAAATGTGGGAAATTATCAATAAAAAAGGAAGTTGTAGAAGATAGGTTTGATACCATTTATATAAGTTTATACAATACCACGTATTATTCATGGATTGCACATGTAATGTGAAAATAAAACCAAATATAGTGGTAAACACCTAATTCAGGAGAGTGGTTACCTCTGGGGAGAGAAGGGAATGGGATCCAGAGAGTTCCACAGAGGCTATTATCATATCTATAATGCTTTATTTCTTAAGCTGTTTGTGAAGAAAGCAGGTGTTCATCATATTATTCTCTGTACTTTGTCATATGCCTGAAATATTAAATAATAATAATAATAATGATCAGTAGACTTTCCCACATTCTGAAGTCCAGTTCTTTCTTATCATGCAACCCACTGTAGTAAAACCATAAATGCTGTACCAGTAATATTGAGACAGAAGCATATTAAGCAGTTCTGGATAGTAAAAGAGAACTGAAGTAGCACTTTTAATGGGATATTTAGCTCAGGATTATGTTCTTAAATTGCAGTAACCACCAATGAGTATCCGGTTTGACTTCTCATTGCCTAGCCAGAGTATCTTGGACAGTAACTTAATAGTGAACATTAGATTGGAATGTAAAGTTACAATCTGTCAATATATATGCATTAGGCATTCAAATTTCTCATTGTTAAATCTGATCTCTAAGGTTCTTAATTTTAGCTCTGAAGTCCTTTAACTTGCTCTGTGATTAATTTGGACATGGTCATCTAATAGCAGTTTGTATCTGTTAATATTGCAAGGATGTAAAAGATGAAGACATAAATGCCAAGATCTCTCCTTTTCCCACTCTTCACTTTGAAAAATGTCATATTTGGGGAATTATAGAGTAAATTTTTAGGCAAGATGTTTTCATCCTGAGTGATAGATAAAGACTGTACTGTGTCATTGTGAAAGGCAAAGGTGAAAGCCAAATATTCCTGCAGTAAAGGTGATCTAGATCAGGGTTTGTTAGTATTGGTACTATTGACATTTGGGGCCAAATAAGTCTTTGTCGTGGGAGACTGCCCAGTTCACTGTAGGATGTTCAGCAACATCTCTGACCTCTACTGACTAGATGCCAGCAGTACTTCCTTGTTAAGACAACCAAAAATTTCTACAGACATCGCCAAATGTCCTCTAGGGGGCAAAATCTCCCTTGGTTGAGAACCACTAAACTAATAAATGTGGTAACTCTCACACTACCCAACACTAAGAGAGTCTGGAGAAAATATAATAAAAATCCTTTGAAATATATATAGCTGGGAGTGCGAGAAAGTAAGGAAGGGGCATCCCAGGACTGAGGACTGAGGGGAAATAGGAAACCCAAACATTGAGAGGAATCGGTGCTTGATGCTGTCCTGGAGGGGTAGGGAGGATTGGCTGATTTTTATAGAAATATAGTTATGTTTTATTTTTAATTGCTTTGTGATTTACATACAGTAAAGTAATGCAGATCTTAAGTGGTCAGTGAATTTTTCCAATTGTATAAACTCATGTATCAACCACAGAAAAACAAGATATAAACATTAGGGACTTGTATTTTAATTGCCACTCAAGTGCTGGAAAGGAGGCCTTGGGTCTGTAAAAGGTAAAAAGTTGGAACTGAGAACCCTGGGTTAATCCAGGGACTCTTGAAGGGCTGCACCCTCAGTGAAAAAAAAGTCTTTTAAAAAAATTCCCCTTGGCACCAAGGAAGTGTTAGGAATTTTGTCTGTCCTGGTCTTGAGGGGAGGGGGAAAGTGGGGTGGGTAGAATCTCCTAAAAATCTGGAACCCTGGGCCTCTCCTCACAGCTGTTTGGAGTTTGAATTTATACCACCCAGCTTAATTTAGGAACATTACACTGAGAAACTAATTTAAAAAGTAGGTCTAGACTCGTTCGGATCCTGCTTCAAACTATGTCTTCCTCTCTTCTCTCACTTTAAATAAGAGAAAGAGAGAGAGAGAGAGAGAGAGAGAGAGAGAGAGAGAGAGAGGAAGAGGAAGAGAGGGAGGGAGGGAAAGAGGGAGAGAGAGAGAGAGAGAGAGAGAGAGAAGGTAATTTGACTAAAGACTAAATATTGATGATACTAAGCAATAATTCGTTTATTATTATTATTTTTAAAGAATCCTTTTACACGGCTGGTGTGGCTCAGTGGTTGAACATTGACCTAGGTGGTCATGGTTCAATTCCCGGTCAGGGCATATGCCCAGGTTGCAGGATTGATCCCCATTGTGGGGTGTGCAGGACGCATCTGATCAATGATTCTCTCTCATCATTGATGTTTCTGTCTCTCCCTCTCCCTTCCTCTCTGAAATCAATAAAAATACAATTTTTTAAAAAAGAATCCTTTGAAAAGAAATGTAGTGAAATGATGTGCCATCTGGAATTTGCTTTTATTTTTTATTTTTTTTAAAGCTCATTCTTTTTTAAAAATATATTTTATTGATTTTTTACAGAGAGGAAGGGAGAGGGATAGAGAGTTAGAAACATCGATAAAAGAGGAACATTGACCAGCTGCCTCCTGCACACCCCCTACTGGGGATGTGCCCGCAACCATGGTACATGCCCTTGACTGGAATCGAACCTGGGACCCCTCAGTCTGCAGGCCGACACTCTATCCACTGAGCCAAACCGGTCAGGGCTGGAATTTGCTTTTAAATAATCCAGTGTGCCAGAACAGGTTTGGATCAGTGGATAGAGCGTCGGCCTGTGGACTCAAGGGTCCCGGGTTCGATTCCGGTCAAGGGCATGTGCCTTGGTTGCCGGCGCATCCCCAGTGGGGGGCGTGCAGGAGGTGCCTGATCGATGTTTCGCTTTCATCAATGTTTCTAACTCTCATCCCTCACCCTTCCTCTCTGTAAAAAATCAATAAAATATATTTTAAAAATAAATAAATAAATAATCCAGTGGAGAGAGGTGGGCAGTGAGTGGAAATATAGCTAAAACAAGATTGGCTATGTTGATTATTTATTGAATCTGGGTAATACATACATGAGAGCTCATTATACTGTTCATTCTATTTTTTACATGTTTAAAAATTCCATTAAAAGAAAAAGTGTTCCCAGGATGGCAATACCTCTGGAGCACCTGATAGAAGCAAATGTAAAACCTCTGTGGAGGGACAAAACCTCAACCCAACCCCCCCAGTTTTCCCCCAGATAAAGTCCTGCTGAACAAAAACTATTCATCGAAAGTTACCGAACACCACAAGTGAGAGTAAGCAGGTAGAGTAAATACCAGAATAAGACCCCCACAACTTTGAGTAATGGTAATAATAGAAACCATAAAGTAAATATGCTTCAGTGAATTAAAAGGAATTGAAAACATGAATAAGAACAAAAACAAAAAGCAAAACCTTAGGCAAATTTGGAAACCAAATAATTAGAATTTCTAGAAATTAAAAATATAGTTCTTAAATTTTAAAATTCAAATGACTAAGTTAGATAACTGGTTAGACCTTACGAGAAAATCAGTAAATTAAAATTTGAAGCATTTACAGAGCAAGTGTTGCAAGACAAAGATCCATCATGTGGGTAGTAGGTACTAAAGGCATCGAGAAGAAAATGAGAAGATTCCAGACTACATTTCAGAGAAATTGCAGAAAAATTGAGAAGAGGCAATACTTTGAAGAGTGCTTGAGAATTTTCTGGAGTTGACAAAAAGACAAAATTCAGATGAGTCCCATCTGAATAAATAAAACGAAACGCAAGAATAGAAATAGATTATATAACTTCCAAGTCAATAAAGGAGGAAAAAAGAATATAGAAAAGTTAGTAAGTCAAGAAGGAAATGGGAAAATCCCAGAAAAACCCCAATTAATACCCCAATAATATGGTAGAAATCAAACATACCAGTAATTGCAATACATGTAAATGTATTTAATAGTTGAGATCGAGATTGTTAGGTTGAATTAAAAAAAATCCATCTATATACTATGCAAATGCTTATTAGAAGAAAGATGAGTACTGGGTTCATTTCAGATAAAATACACCATAAGGCAAAAATTATGATTAGTGCCAAAACCGGTTTGGCACAGTGGATAGAGCATCGGCCTGCGGACTGAAAGGTCCCAGGTTCGATTCTGGTCAAGGGCATGTACCTGGGTTGCGGGCACATCCCCAGTAGGAGGTGTGCAGGAGGCAGCTGATCGATGTTTCTCTCTCATCAATGTTTCTAACTCTCTATCTCTCTCCCTTCCTCTCTGTAAAAAATCAATAAAATATATTTTTAAAAAATATGATTAGAGATTAAGAGGATCACCATAAATTTATTGCATATACATAATATGAAGTACAGAAAACAAAAACTGACACAACTGTAAGCAGAAAACAACAAATCCTCAATTGTGGTGAATGATCTTAGGTCTGTTGATAGAAGAGATCAAGCAAATAAAATATACATTTGAATAACACTTGATTTAGTGGATTCGTAAGACTCTCCCACCCCCATTACAGAATACTTGTGTTACAGGAAGGGGGTGGGGGGAAGAGAGAGAGAGAGAAACATCGATATGGGAGCGACGCATTGATTTGTTGCCTCCTGCACTTTTCCCCAATGGGGGCCGGGGATCAAACCTGCAACCATGTGCACCTCGATGGCCTATGCTCTAACTGAGCCACACTGGCGAGGGCTGGCTGACTGTATCTTGTGTTCTAAGCGTTGTATCTGATTCTTACTTGGAAATCCTTACAGCTCAAAAAAATCTTGTCCAGATTCCCTGCAGGCTTCTGTAAATGTAAGGCAGATTACTTATCTTTATTGTAGAACCTTTCACCTTGTTGTTATTTTTACTTCTCTACAAATGAATAGGATATCTGTGTAACTTCAGGCAGGTTACTTAATCACTCTCTGTTTCTTCACTGTTAAGTATAAACTGTTACCAGCCTCCTAGAGTTGTTGCAAGGATTAAATGACAGAATTCTTAACACTGACTAAGCAATTGGTAAATAATAGCTATTATTATCATTATCTCTCCTCAGCCATGCTGAGGTCTCAGAGGGCAGAGCTCCCATATTGTTCTCGATATCTTACTCAAGTGCTTATCTGTGTTGGCACAGAATCAATAAAAATGTTTATTGCCCTAGCTGGTTTGGCTCGGTGGATAGAGTGTCAGCCTATGGACTGAAAGGTCCCAGGTTCGATTCCGGTCAAGGGCATGTACCTTGGTTGCGGGCACATCCCCAGTGGGGGGTGTGCAGGAGGCAGCTGATCGATGTTTCTCTCTCATCGATGTTTCTAACTCTCTATCTCTCTCCCTTCCTCTCTGTAAAAAATCACTAAAATATATTTTTTAAAAAATGTCTTAATATTATTGTCTGATTTCTTGAGTCTTGGTGGTGTGTATAAGGCAGGTATTTTCAAACTGTTTTCTTGAGCAGATTCAATGAAGGTGCTTTTGGATTCTAAAAATATTTTATTCCCATTTCATCTGTAAATTTCTAAACTATTTTGAAAACAAAAAATGTAATTTGTAAGCTCGTGTTAAAAAACAGCACTTTAAAAAAAAGAAAACAGTACTTTTAGTAGTAAAGCCTCTTACTGTTTTAACCAGTAAGGTTGGGGGTCACCACAACATGAGGAACTGTATTAAAGGGTCGCTGCATTAGGAAGGTTGAGAACCACTGCGCTAGACTGAGAATATAAGTTTACAGGCTATAACTGACAAGCCTGTTTACTGTTTATTTATCAAAATAATTCATTTTTGTTCTTATCTTGTTATGTTACCTCTTAATTAATTGAAGGTTAGCCCAATATTGAAGGCTAAACTGTTAAAAATTAAAACAAACTACAAAATAAGAACCTGCTGCCATTTTCAGATACTTTTCTACATAAATTTTTAATAGTGTACAATCAAAACAAAACACAAAAAATAGAATTCTGTGGTGGATTTAGGAATGCATTGGCATGCATATCTCCTACTTTTATTGCTTTGTATTAATCAGAAGAGCCTTAATTTATTGAATTTATAATAAATTCATTTTATACATTTAAATAAAAATACATTTATTCTAATTAAATGTGGATTTATCTGCTACTTTGGAAAGAAAAGGTATTTATAACTAACCCATTCGTAAATTCATTTGATAAGCATTTATTGGCACTGTTATGTGGTGGGTATTATGCTCTAGACCAGCGGTTCTCAACCTGTGGGTTGTGACCCCTTTGGGGGTCGAACGACCCTTTCACAGGGGTCGCCTAAGACCATCGGAAAACACATATATAATTACATATTGTTTTTGTGATTAATCACTATGCTTTAATTATGTTCAATTTGTAGCAATGAAAATACATCTTGCATATCAGCTATTTACATTACGATTCATAACAGTAGCAAAATTACAGTTATGAAGTAGCAACGAAAATAATTTTATAGTTGGGGGTCACCACAACATGAGGAACTGTATTAAAGGGTCGCTGCATTAGGAAGGTTGAGAACCACTGCGCTAGACTGAGAATATAAGTTTACAGGCTATAACTGACAAGCCTAATGGGTTTCCACATGATTGTGCATTTAGAAGAATAAAGACTTTAATGCTTTCAGGATACTTTGAGACCACTGACTTGTAAAGTGTCCTGTTTCTTCCAGTCAGTTGACTGCCACTCTTGGTTTTGCAGAGGTCCAGCTGGAGTAAGAGCACAAGCTCTGGATCAAGATGGAAATCTGGTAGACGATTTTGTATTTGATGGAGGAGATGGGGTTATTGGAAATCGCATTCTTCACGTGAGAAATGCACCTTCCCCTGCTGCTACTTCGTCCCTTGCAATTTCTGGAATGATTGCAGATGAAGTACAACAAAGATTTAAACTGTAAATAATGAAAGGAGCTAGCTACGCATTTTGATCTCCACATTCAGCAACATCCACAAGAACGTACTAATTGAATTCTTTAATTTTTAAAAAATGGTTTGAAAGTAGCATTTTTAGTTATCTCATTTAATAACCACTGAATTGTTAAACTGATATAACAGAGAAATAATTTTTTAAAGTCCATGTTCTTTTACTTAGAGAATAAAGAGAAAAGGTACAGTTGTACCTTTTCCTGAATCCTTGACTTTTCTTTTCTTTTTTTTTTTTTTTTTTTGTTAATCCTCATCTGAGGATATTTTTTCCATTGTTTTTCAGAGGGTGGAAGGGAGGAGAGTGGGGGGGGAGAGGAGAGAGAGAGAGAAAGAGGAAGGAAACATTGATATGAGAGAGACACATTGATTGGTTGCCTCCCACATTCAACCCCGACTGAGCCGGGGATAGAAACTGTAACCCAGGTACATGCTCTTGACCAGGAATTGAACCCACGACCCTTTGGTGTGTGGGCCAGTGCTCTAACCACTGAACGGTGCCAACCAGAACTTGACTCTTAATTGACCTTGCCCTCACCAACCATAATCTAAAGATTCAGCTCTTTTGGAATTTCTGCAAATGATGGCATAAAAATTTGCTTATTCCCTTAATTTTTTGGCTTTATAGTAAGCTTTTTGGTCTCTTATAGACAAGAAGATATAATATATTGTAGGTTACAAAACTTTTAATTTTTTTAAAATATATTTTTATTGATTTCAGAGAGGAGGGAGAGGGAGAAAGAGATAGAAACATCAATGATGAGAGAGAATCATTGATCGACTGCCTCCTGCATGCCCCCTACTGGGGATTGAGCCCACAACCTAGGCATGTGTCCTTCGGTCCGCAGGCCAATGCTGTATCCACTGAGCCAAACCAGTTAGGGCCAGATCTTTTAATTTTAAAGTCAGAAAAACTCAGATTTAGAGCAACAATATTTGTATTTGGGAATTCTTGATTTAAAATAGACATGAAATTTCACATTTTAAAGTAGTTTGAGTAAAATTCTATCAAGCTATAATATTTTCAGAGAAATGCAAAGTCTTTTTTATTCCCAGCTCTTTATAACTGACTTGGTATGGTGTCACCACTAAATCTAAACAGCAGTACACTATGAATGGTTGTTGCCAACTTGTCAGTTTTTTCTGGTTGAGAAACTAAAAGAACATAGAACTGATAGGTTTTTATGAGAGCAGTTTTAGAATCCTGGCACTGATATACAGAACTCTGTAATTTAAAAATTATTTACCTCTTACCTCTGCTCTTGAGTTACACCAAGGTTCTCAGATGTTGGCCAAGATCACTAGTGATTCATGCCGACTTGGGTTTTCAGGGATCCTGTTTCTTCATTTTTAGAAAATACCTAACTTAGAGGCATTCACTTTTGTAAACCGCAAAAGTGCCTTACATTTATGTGTGCTTCATGAGTATTTTAAATTGTTGGCCAGTGCCATACTGTATATAATATACTGCATATATGTGTGTGGTATCTATTGAAAGGATTCTTGTAATTCAGAAAGTTGGAAAACAGAAATATAAATGAAAATAAGGCAGGCAGCCTACTGATTGGGGAAACTTTTATTACAGAACAACCATGTAGGTGAGATATTTTCACCCTTTCCCTTACATGTACTCTCTCAGGATTAATCATGCCCTCTTTTGTTTTGTTTTTTCCTCCTATCACTCCAAAGATGTGTAAAGGATGAGTTAGAAGTATGTACATTTTGGTTGATAGGAAAAACTTTTTTGTTTTTTTTCCTTTTCACTTCAAGCCTCTGTGATTACATTGATTGAACTACCTCATCCATTAATTTGAAAACCTATATAACCGTCTGCTCATGTTCAAGAAGTAACACATCCAGGAAAATAGACTAGGCAATTATTCAAAACTTGGAGTAAGCATATTGAAAGCATTCAGAAATCATTCACAGAAGACACAAACCCTAGTGGTTCTTCATAACTACTGATTCCTCCAAGAAATGTAGCACACAGGATATGTTTTTCTGTTCCAGAACGAGACTGTTAAGAAATGGGAAATATTACGATTCTCTATTTCAACAACAGTAAGATTGCATATGCACTAAGCTGTGAAAAACTGAAATTACAAAAATAACTGCCCTAATTAAAGCAACCCTCATTCCACATGGGTCTGTACTAACCTGAAAATACAAGTGAAAAAGTTATTGAAAGTGTTTTGAATGTGTAGGTTATTCTGTTTGTAAAACATAAGTTATTGGTGTCATTAGGATTTTGTTGTGTAATACGAATGTAATATTTAAAAGTTTTGTGTATTTCTGAGAGAAGAAAATGTATATTAATATTAAAAAATATTTTAATGAGCCTTGGTGTTGCGAACATAATTTTTAGTTTCATTTATTTGAAACTCTGATTCAAATAATTGTTTTTGTGTGTAGAACTTGAACTGTCAAAGCTTTAGATAGTAGCCAGTCTTTTAAAAATGCACAAAAATCTTCTGTATCTATGTGTAATCTAGAAATGAGGTAGAGTAGTAGTTTATATTTTGGGTAAAAAGTGGAACACTTCCCAACTTACAAAAATGGCTTTCTATCTGATAGTGGTGCCAATATCTGGCTGACCTCTGTGTCATCTTTATACCCCGGAGTACCAGGGGGCATTATTTCTGTTTCATAGCAGAATGTCTATAGCCTATAAACACCCAGTGCTTTCCAGGGGTGAGGGCAGAGGAAAGGGGGTTCAACAGATCAATCTTTAAGAAATTTATTAAAGATTATAGTTCTTGGGAAGACATGTTTGGTATGTTATGTCTTACAGGGGACTGGGCTCCTGGACATGAGCCTGTCATTACAGGGCAAATGATCTGAGTACCTGCTGCAACTTCTTTCCGGCAGGTGGACTGTTAGAAAGCCAACGTTAGCTACAGCAAAGAACCATGAAAGCGAGTGACAATGACATTTATTGTTTCCTGTGGTGTTGCTTTGGTTTGCTACTGACTGGCACTTGTAGCTTTAAATAAATTGAGGAAGAGAGAGTACATGGTAGAAACATTGAGTAAGTCCTTCTCGAAAATGTTTTCAGTAGGAGAATATTTGTGGTAAAATTTGAACTGCCTTGTAAAATCTGATTGGGTCATTCAAGTTGTCTCCCAAAAGCCATTCTAAATTTTAAAAAGGCATAATTACTATCAAATTATTGCTATGATAGCATATTAATTGTAACTCCAATTTATAATTGAGCTTTTTGTTATATCCACAGGGCCTCCCCCTTATAGTATCAGTATGTTTAATAGTTGCATTTTGTAAATCCTCACCTGAGGATATGTTTTATTGATTTGAGAGAGAGAGGGAGGGAGGGAGAAACATTGATGGGTCGCCTCTCTTATACTCCCTGACCAGGGATCGAACCTGCAACCTAAGTAATGTGCCCTGACCAGGAATCAAACCTGTAAACTTTTGGTGTATGTGATGATGCTCCAATTGAGTCACCCAGCCAGGGCAATAGTTGCATTTTTAACACTTGAAGCAAATGCTTATAATGAGGTTAGAAATTTTTTCATTTAAAAATGGCTTTTAAATAATGTTTTGAATAAGTACAACATTCATATGGTTGAAAAGTCACAGAAAAATTCACAGTGAAATGTGTTCTCTCTGCTAGCCACCTGTCCCATCCCTGAGGCAACAAGAATTGTCACTATCTTGTGCAGCTTTGTAGATATATTTATATATAATAAAATACCTTGCCTTCATTTTTTGACATAAGTAGTAACAAACTCTGAATTACTGTATTATACATCTTGCTCTTTTCGCTTGGTAGCATACCTTTGAGAATGTTCAAGAGGCCTGATCACAGTAACCTGGTTCTTTTAAAATGACTTTATAGGTTCTATCTATGGATTTACTATTTTTTGTTGAACTAATCCCTTATGTTTACTGATGATTTTTTTAAAAAATTATCTTTATTGTTGAAAGGATTACAGATGTTCCCTTTTTCCCCCTCCATTAATTCCCTCCACCCCGCTCCTGCCCCCTCCCCAGCTCTTCACTGCACCATTGTTTGTGTCCACGGGTTATGCATGTATGCATATAAGTTATTTGATTAAACTATTCCTGCCTCCCACCTTCCCTCTGAAATATATCAGTCTATTGCATGCTTCAGTGTCTCTGGATCTATTTTGCTTGTCAGTTTATTTTGTTCATTAGATTCCACATAAAAGTGAGATCATGTGATATTTGTCTTTCTCTGTCTACTTATTTCATTTAGCGTAATACTCTCCAGGTCCCTCTGTGCTGTCTCAGAGTTAAGGATTCTCCCTTTTTACAACTGCATAGTATTCCATTGTGTATATGTACCAGTATTTTTTTATCCATTCATCTACTGATGGGCACTTGGGCTGTTTCCAGATCTTAGATTTTGTAATAACACTGCTATGGACATAGGGGTACAATCTTTCTGATTGATGTTTCAGGCTTCTTAGGATATATTCCTAGAAGTGGGATCATTAGGTCAAACAGCAGTTCTATTTTTCATTTTTTAAAATATATTTTTCTGATGTTATCAAATATGTACTCTTTAAAAATTTTATTTTTATTGATTTCAGAGAGGAAGAGAGAGAGAGAGAAACATTAATGAGAGAGAATCATTGATCAGCTGCCTCCTGCATACCCCCCACTGGGGATTGAGCCCACAACGTGGGCATATGCCCTTGATCAGAATCGAACCGGGGACCCTTCAGTCCGCAGGCCGACACTCAATCCACTGAGCCAAACTGGCTAAGGCCATTTTTCATTTTTTGAGGAAACTTTTCCATAGTGGTTGTACCAGTTTGCATTCCCACCAACCATGTTCAAGGGTTGCTTTTTCTCCACATCCTCATCAGCACTTGTTGTTTGTTGATTTATTGATGATAGCCATTCTGACAGGTATGAGGTGATATCTCATTGTGGTTTTAATTTGCATCTCTCTGATGATTAGTGATGAGCATTTTTTTCATATGTCTCTTGGCCATTTGTATGTCCTCTTTGGAGAAATGTCTATTCAGGTCTTCTGGCCATTTTTTAAATTAGATTGTTTGTCTTCCTTTTGTTGAGCTATGTGAGTACTTTCAATATTTGGAAAATTAACCCCTTATTAGATGTATCTTTGGCAAATATGTTCTCCCATACAGTGGGTTCCCTTTTCGTTTTAATGCTGGTTTCCTTTGCTATGCAGAAGCTTTTAGTTTGTTGTTTTCATTTGTTTCTCTTGCCCTAAGTGATATATCTGTGAAAATTCTGCTACATGAGATGTCTGATATTTTGCTGCCTACTTTTTTTTCTAGAATTTTTATGGTTTCATGACTTATTTTTAAGTCTTTAATCCCTTTTGAGTTTATTCTTGTGTATGGTGTAAGTTGGTTGTCTAGTTTCATTTTTTACATGTACCTGTCCAATTTCCCCAACATCTTTTCTCCATTAGATGCTCTTGCCTCTATTGTCACATATTAATTGAGAATAATGGCTTGGGTCGATTTCTGGGTTCTCTGTTCTGTTCCATTGATCTATACGCCTGTTCTTGTGCCAGTACCAGGCTGTTTTGTTTACAGTGGCTTTGTAATATAACTTGATATCCAGTAGTGCGATCACTCCAACTTTGTTCTTTCCTTACTGAGGCTTATTTAAATTGTTTATTTCTAGGGTGTTTTGTTTTGTTTTTGCTATAACAATACTGCAATGAATAACCTTGTACTAAGTCATTTCACATTTGAGCAAGTATACCTATTGGACAGACTAGTTTTTTTTTTCATTGCAATCTTTGACACACCTGGAATTTATCCTAGTGTAGAGTGTGCGGGTATGGATTCAACATTGTTCTCTAGATGGCCCATTTGTCTGCTTGGGAAACTTTTTACTGCTGTCATTCTTGAATTATCCTCCACACACACGTGGATCACATTCTATGTGCCTCGCCCAGAGATCGCAACTGAGATGCCTGTAGAGACTAGGCAGGTTACATAAAAGGGTGAAGAGTGCCAGGTGGGGAATAGCCAACTGGAAGTAGGATGGCATACTTTTCTAAAGAGGGCAGCCACTACTCTCTGCCTGCTGATTATTCCCTTGCAGGAATGCAGCAGGGCCCGGTGTGGCCAGATCTTTGTCAAGAGAAGCTGAAAATCCAGGTATACAAAATCTCCTGGTTTTTAAAACGTTAACAACAACTCTAAGAATTTAAATATAGCCTTGGCTGAACAAAATGTGTCTTCAAGCCAGATTTGGCCTTGAGAAGGCGTCCAATATTCTTAGCCAAGAATGAAACTTCCAATAACAACTTTACTCCCCTAAAAGAAAATACAATCACAGTCTCGTAGTTTGCTTAGTAGTTATGGCTGGAGTTCAGGAAGAGGAGAAAAAAGCAATGACACTTTAGGTAAGCCAAAGTCTTTGCCCTCACCGATAGAAAGATTACTTGGAGAAATACATGCATTTCACTTTTATCCCCAGGACATGGGAATGTAGAGGTCACCATTTATTAGAAGACATTCGTGATTCGGTGGATACTTGGATTAGAAAAATGATCTTGTAAATTTTCCAACCCTGCCATTCTGATCTTGCCAGAATGACAAAATGTTCGGTTTGTGTTTTGGGGGAGGTTAATCACTCAGCTACTGATCCTGGAACTAAATTGTGGCAGGCATTTTTTTTGCTCTGTTCTCCCTTTCCCTTCCTTGCTGCTGGTAGCTGGGAACAGTCTCTTACAATCCATACCCTCAGCATCTGTAGTGGAATGAAACGTATGCTAATGATAACATTTCCAGAGTCACGCCTCTTCAACTCAGGAAAGCTATGGTCGGGGGATCTTTGCTGTGGAGTATGACTGGGCCACAGGGGCAGATGCAGGTTTCGTGGGACCTGATGCCTACACAATTTGGAGGACGTCATTAAGAAAACACTTCAGAAATATACTTGGAAAGTTTTATAAAAACGATGATTTTGTGAACACATCGGGGACTGTGCAAGGGAAGGACCTCTAAGAATGTAATGAAGCCCTAACCGGTTTGGCTCAGTGGATAGAACGTGGGCCTGCGGAATGAAGGGTCCCAGGTTCGATTGGGGTCAAGGGCATGTACCTTGGTTGCCGGCACATCCCCAGTAGGGAGTGTGCAGGAGGCGGCTGAGCAATGTTTCTAACTCTCTAATCCCTCTCCCCTCCTCTCTGTAAAAAAATCAATAAAATATATTTTTAAAAAAGAATGTAATGAAGTTCAAGCTTCATTAATGCCACCGCCATCTGCCCTTTCTCTGACCCTACTGTACGCGAAGGGCTCGCACGCCTCCCCTCCTTCGTCTCCAAGGCACCGGTCCACGATACGCTCTCCTGGAGAACAGACCCGTGCACGTACACACGCTAACTCCCGCGTCCAGCCCGAACGCCTTCCCTCCGCACCCCCATGCTGCCTCCCACGCCCGAGTCCTGGGAGGCGCCGTGTCGGTGTTGTCCCGGGAAGGTCTAGAGGCGGGAGAGTCCGTGTGAAACGCAGGAGGCTGGGGAGTGTGTCTGCAACAGGCCCGCCGCAGGCCCGGGGGAGAGGCAGCCTCCCGCGGCCGCCCTGCGCCCCCGCGCCCGGCCGGCGCCGCTGCCCCCGCGGCGCGCATGCTCCGTGCTGCGCTCGGCGACCGGGTAGTGAGCGCGGGGCCCAGGGGGCGGGCCGAGCCGCCGCGGCTGCGGGCCCGAGTCGGCGGCCCTGGGGCGCTGTGGCGGCGGCTGAGGCGGCGGTGGCGGCCGGTCCCGGGTGCGCCCGAGTGCGGCTCGCTCCTCCGACGCACACGCCGGGCGGTCCCCGGGGCCTCGGGAGGTGACTCGGGCGGGCGGGCCCCTGGGAGGCGGGGGCGAGGCGATGAGGAGGAGAGCCACCGCCGCCCGTCTCCGCCCGCCGCAGCTGTAGCGGAGCCGGGGTGGGGGCGAGGCCAGCGGACCCCCGCCGGACCGCGGACCCAGACAAAGGAGGAGGACCCGCCCGACGCCGGGCCGCGCCGCCGGGAAGGAGGTCGCCGCCGGGGGCTCCCGGGCCTGCGCGCTTCTTCGGCGGACGCTGCGTGAGGCCGGGCCACCCGGGCGAGGAAGCCGCCCCCGAGCCCCCGCCCGCCGGCGCCGCCTCCCAGCCGCCTCGGCCGTAGCTGCGGCCCAGGCGGGAGGCGGCGGCGCCTGGCGAGGCGAGGCGGCCCGCGCCCTGCCTGTCAGGCCCCCGGCGTGGCCCGGCCTGGCCCGCGGGCAGCCCCCGATGCGGAGGCCATGCAGCAGGCGCCGCAGCCCTACGAGTTCTTCAGCGAAGAGAACAGCCCGAAATGGCGGGGACTGTTGGTCTCGGCCCTGCGGAAGGTCAGTGCCGGTGCCCGGGCGGCCGCGGGCTGAGGGAGTGCGGGGCGGCCGGCGGGCGGGCGCGGGCCGCGACCCCTGCGAGCTTCTAACCGGGAGCCCACGTCCTCCCCCCGGGTCCCCGGCCCGCGGGCCGAGCCGTGTCTCTCGGCTGGCGACGGGGGCGCTCCCGATGGCCTGCGGCATCCAGAAGGACGTTTTCTCAAGGTTTTTTGTTTTGTTTGTTTTTATGTTTTTGGCTTGGCCCGGAAGGAAGGTTTTGTTATGATCTTAATACTGGATTTCTGTTGCGGTCATTTCGTCAGGCAACTTCCGCCGTTGACCAATGTGTTGTCCTCAGGCTGGATTCGGCGAGAGACCATCCGGCCGGTAGTTAGACGGTTTCTCAGACAAAAGCACCTTCCCGGGCCCGGGATTCCCTTCAGGCCGGTGCGTGGCGGGGCTCCCCCGGGCGTCCGCCCGCCGAGGGGCAGTGGGTGCGTTTGACATGTGCGAGCGTCGGGGGCCGCGCGCTCCCATGGGCCAGAGATCACTCTGAAGTGCCCCCACTTCCTGAAAGTGCTTGTTTACGAGAGATTGCCCCGGTCAGGTTTGGTCATTTAGAACTTGGAATCCTTTTAAGAGGATAAAAAAAGATGTAACTCGTTTTTAAAAAAAATAACAAAATCAACCTTTTGAGTTTGGGTGCATCGCTAGGGTGCATCTCTCCTGCAGATGCTGCCGCCTTCCCTCTGTGAATTCAGGTGATAATCACACTGTCACGTTTATAATCAGGTCAGATTTGTGAAGACAAACGTAAAGACTGTAAGTGAGAAGATATCACGCCTACCGAACAGTTCCTTCTGCCATTCGTACAAGATAACGAAGTACAATGGGGCCTTGACTTACGAGTGTCCCGACTAACGAGTTTTTTGAGATACCAGCTGTCTCTTGGCCGATTTTTTGCATTGAGTTGACAGAGTAATTTGAGTTAACGAGCTCCTTAGGAGCTCGGTCCCGGAACGAATTAAACTCGTAAGTCAAGGCCCCACTGTACATGATAAGATAATAAGGAGAGTAAACATTAAAAGACTGCACTTGAAAACTAAAATTTTACTAGTATACATTAAATTTCTATAAATGAAAGGAAGTCGTATATATTCAAGGTAAAAACATTGTCCTCCTGCATTCAGAGTGTCGCATTTTCCATTCTTTTCCTAATTCTTCCAAGGAAATATAGTGCCTCCTTGGGCCAAGCCATGTCTTTTTGAAGAACTGTGGAAGTGACTAGGCTAGGGGCAGGCAGCTAGACAGTTATTTTGCTGGTACACGAGGTGTTAAAGTATATCACGTTGACCTCCCTTCTATGGGCAGCCCTATTCTAAAAGGAGAGGGACAGAACTGGAGCGTGTGCTGAGTGGTGATAATGAACTCTGGCCTGAGTTCCGAGCAAAGGAAAATGTTGAGGTAGTAATTGACCCTTCCGCCACACACGAGTGCGATGGAGTCTGTATGGTTTGCAGTGTGATGCAGGTACCTATCTACTAGTACTTTCTGTTAGCAAATAGTACATGAGTATGTGTTGCATAACTTATTTAATAGGTAGTTTTGACCCTGATAATCCTTCATGCACAGATACGAATTGACTTCTTCAGGTTATGCTGGAAGCAAAGCCAGGACTAGCATCCATTGCTCTGAGACTATGCTCTGAGACTATTGCTTTGCACTTACATGTTATGTTTGTTTTTCCTGGATCTCATGTGCTTTGTAGATCTGTATTGTCTTATTCCACAGTTCTTATATATCCTTTGCTTATGGAATAAATATATCTAAGAAAATTTGGTCTTTTGAGATAAATTCAAAAAGCAATTTCTATTTAATTTATTATTTTCTTATTATACAATTGGGGTATATTTTCACAGAAGACCCTTTTTTATATTTTTAGAAAATTTTTGGTATTAGTAATTTGAATTATGCCTAGTTTTGCGGTATTTAGATATTTGTGATATTGCAACATGTAAGTTTATAATTCTGCTAAGGGTTTCTTTCCAAGATGTGTTAAATTCTGGTATGTATCTGCCACCCATGTCTTTGCACAGTGAGAATTCCTGCCATTTCTGGGGAAGTTCTGTCTTCACATTCAAAGCATCTGGAACTTGGCTTCCTTCCTCCAGCTGAACAGATAGTTACAAAGACTACTACCATTATTAGTAGAAGCAGCAATAGATTAATAGGATTTTTCTCTTCCAGTTGGTGTTGCTATTGAACATGTGGAGTACTCTACCCTTATTTAATACTTGTTGAACACATTTTAGGTACTTGGCACCATACTGGATTCTAAGAATGCAAAGATGAGTAAAAGAAAGACCCTGCTCAAAAAGTGCTTACCATCTATCTAGGCTGAAATTCTCAACTTTGAGGTTTTGGTTTATATAAATGAGAGCAATTAGGAGCTCAGAGTTCTGTAAGGAATGTCTGTATATGCATATGAAAGAAGCAGTGTAATATATATATATATATTATTGCAGTGTAATATATATATATATAATATATATATATTATTGATTAAGATATTACATATGTGTCCTTATCCCCACGTTACCCCCTACCCTCCCCCCCCCCCTCACTCATGCCCTCACCCTCCTGTTGTCCGTGTCCATTGGTTAGGCCTATATGCTTGCATATAAGTCCTTTGATTGATCTTTCCCCCTTACCCCCACCCTCCCCTACCTTCCCTCCAAGGCCTGACAGTACAATCAATGCCTCTCCGTCTCTGGATCAGTCCTTGTTCATCAGTTTATGTTGTTCATTATATTCCCAAAATGAGTGAGATCATGTGGTGTTTATCCTTCTCTGACTGGCTTATTTCACTTAGCATAATGCTCTCCAGTTCCATCCTGCTGTGGCAAATGGTAAGAGTTCCTTTTTCTTCTTCCTCTTCTTAAAGAATACCTTTCAGCATTTCATATAATGCTGGTTTGGTGGTGATGAACTCCTTTAGCTTTTTCTTATCTGTGAAGCTCTTTATCTGACCTTTAATTCTGAATGATAGCTTTGCTGGATAAAGTAATCTTGGTTTTAGGTTCTTGGCATTCATCACTTTGAATATTTCTTGCCACTCTCTTCTGGCCTGCATGGTTTCTGTTGAAAAATCAGCTGACAGTCGTATGGGTACTCCCTTGTAGGTAACTGACTGTCTTTCTCTTGCTGCTTTTAAGATTCTCTCTTTGTCTTTTGCTCTTGGCATTTTAATTATGATGTGTCTTGGTGTGGTCCTCTTTGGATTCCTTTTGTTTGGGGTTCTCTGCGCTTCCTGGACTTGGAAGTCTATTTCTTTCACCAGGTAAGGGAAGTTTTCTGTCATTATTTCTTCAAATAGGTTCTCAATATCTTGCCCTCTCTCTTCTTCTGGTACCCCTATAATTCTGATGTTGGTACGCTTGAAGTTGTCCCAGAGGCTCCTTACACTATCTTCATATTTTTGGAATCTCTTTTCTTTTTTCTTTTTCGGTTGGGTATTTTTTGTTTCTTCGTATTTCAAATCTTTGACTTGATTCTTGGGATCCTCTTGTCTGCTGCTGGATCTCTGTATATTATTCTTTATTTCAGTCAGTGTATGCTTAATTTCTAGTTGGTCTTTTTTCATATCCTCCAGAGTCTCACTAAATTTATCGGCGGTTTCCATAAAATTCTTGAAAAACCTTATAAACTTGGCCTTGAACTCTATATCCAGTCGTTTGCTTTCCTCCATTTCTGTCATTTGTGATCTGTTTCTTTGTCTCCGCATTTTTTATGCTTCCCTGTGTTGGTAGAGTGGCTTTGTGTGCTAGGTGTCCTGTAGGGCCCAGTTGCTCAGCCTCCCCAGTTACCTGAGGTGGACACTCTTGGTGCACCCCTTTGTGGGCTTTGTGCACAGTCTTGTTGTAGTTAAGCCTTGATTGTTGTAGGATCACTGGGAGGAATTGACCTCCAGGCAATTGGCAGTGAGAATCAGCTGTGTCTGCAGTGGGAGAACTTCTGTGCTGAAGACACCCTTCTGGGGCAAGACTTGCTTCAGTGGGGCTTTGGTGCTCACTGATTCTGCCCCCTGAGTGTGTCCCTTATGGATCTGAGGAGTTGTAATCTGGATGGTCCCACTCTGACCACTGGGTACACTGCCTCTTGGATCTAAGGAGGTGCTAATTTAGCCTCTGCCTGAGGCTACCCAGCAGGAGCTAAGAAGAGAACTGCAGATTCCCCTTCCTTTTTTGGAGTTTGGAGGTGCCCAGATGAGGCCCAGCTGTGAAGCAATGCAAGCTGCTGTGGGGCCTTGGGCCTTCTCTTGGAAGTTCTGGGTCTCTCTGACCCAGCTGCAATTTGTTAGGTAATTTTCAGGTTGCAAAGGGCCAGGGCATTCATATGCAAAAGCCTCTGCCGCAGCCTGGGTGGGGCAGGGTCTCAGGAAATCAAAGGGCGGAGCCAGCAGCTATGGCGGATCCTCAGCCCTGCCCTAAGGGGCCACGTTTCTCAGTGTCCGGGTAATTGCTGCAAGCACCTCTGAGGGAAAGCCGCCCTCAGGTTCCGAGTTCTGCCTGCTGCCAGACAGTCCAGTTTCTCCCTGCATGAGTCCTGGGTCCCCAGAGACTTCCTGGAACCGGAGTTCAGAGCAGTTGGGAGCTTGTGACTCCCTCCCGATTCAAAAAGACAGCTGCGTCCTCAGGTGCCCGCCCCTTTCCCCGCGCTTGAGCCTCCGTACCTCTGCACTTTACTTCCGCACCTCCTCTGAGTCTACGTGTGCTTTTCTTTTTCCTTCTAGTTGTAGAATTTCCACTCAGCCAGCCTTCCTGTAGTTCTGGATGATGTCCGTTTTGTCTTTTCGTTGTATTTTTGAAGTTGTTGTGGGAGGCAGCAATTTCCGGTTTTTACCTATGCCGTCATCTTTCTTTCTCCAGCAGTGTAGTTTTAATTGGCTCTATCAGGGTAGTCCACCTGGGCATCTTGGTGGAAGCTCTAAAACTGTTAAAGTATAATTTTCAGAAAGATAAAATCGTAACACTCACCAAATACAAAGTGGGACAAAACTAGGTTTACAGTTGTTTGTAGTATTATTTTTCATACGAACAACTGTAAGCCTACCTTTGGCCCCCCCCCCCATAAATGTCAATGATTTGGATTCAACTCATGACTTAATGAGGAAACTCATAAGATGTTAAAGGCACTTAATATGAAAATTTATAGGCAATTTAATAAAGGAATGTTAAGGCAAGATTGTTGGTTTAAATACAAAATTAGTTAATATCCTACATCAGGCATGTCAAACTCAAAGGCTAACGCGGGCCAAATAAACAAGGTTTAAGTTTATGTGGGCCACAAAAAAACAAAAGCTTAATTTTCATAGAAATGTAGGTTTATTTCAATAGAGACATGCTGAATACAAAGGGCTGAAGTAAATGAGTAATCATTAACATAAA